CAAAAAAAGTACAAAGTGTTTGTTAGGTGTTAAGCCTGTGCTAAAAGATGCTTCATATGATTAAAAGACAAAAAAGCGATTGTGTTGAATTGTGTTTGGGAAATAGACATGGTGTTAAAGTGGTAGTGGTAATATTTCATTCAGTACAGAAATGTGTAGACAGTTTAACTTACCCTGTCGCACGTCTCAACTTACACCATACCCGGGATACGTTGTGCCAAGAGACCCCTTTTTTTGGACAAGCTATGTTTTCAAAACTGTAATGTTTACATGAATTCTGATTATTTCCAGGGATACACAACATCCTGAAATATAGGTAGATGTCTTTGTCAGAAATAATACTATATTTCCCTTGAAGGAGTGATGTTGAATGTAAAAATGGCTCAACTTACCCCACTCTCCCCTATGTTTACTATCACACAGAACAGCTCATTGAGGTTTGTACTATAATACTGTTTGTAAAAGGAGAATAATGACTCATGCCCATATCCCCCGCCTGCCACTATTTTCTAGCGAACATACAGACAATATTTATATGCCCATTGTCACGGAACACAACAAAGGCTCAGGTTTCTTTTGAATGTTTGTCCCTTTCCTTTCTTCCCCCAGATGGAGCAGAATGGCTTGGCTCTTTCACATTACACACCAATCTACACCAGGAGCTGGAGAAAGGTCACTACTGGCTGTGAGCAATGCATGATAATATCATCCTTTACAAGCCAAATCTCTGTTGATCTGCTCTGCTCACATTCTAATGGTGTGACAGGTCGCCCAGTCATTTTTCCACTGCAGTGGAGGGAGGGAGGGAGGGCCAGGGGGATTTGGAAACACTTTGAAAAGGTCATACTAGCGAAGATGAATATGTGGTTAGGTGAAGTTATAATGGCAGACATCTTGTAGGCTGGAGCTCTGGGGCTTTCGGGAATTTATATAGATCTGGACCCGAGTGTGTGGCATTTCAGAGAATCTGCCAGAGAATGCTCATTACAGACTAAAACAGCAGTCTGTAAACCTTATCCAAATACCATAATCAATCTGACTTTAAAAGTACAATATGGATACTAATTTGGACAACATAATATTCAGTAACACAGAAACTAAGAGTGGATAATGGGTTAGTTATACCACTGGTATTTTCATTTGAGTTAAAATATTATTTTGATGAACCGTTCTTTTTATGATAAACTAGAGAAAAATGAGTGCACATTCTTCTGTCAAGAATCGGGATAAGATCAAGATTGGATCTGATTACAAACCATTTTCTTATCTTCTTCCCCTCCTCTTACCTTAAAGTCCTGTGTTCCTCCTCTGCGCAGTGCGGTGCAGGCCAGCTGGGCAGGGTCACTTGTTGTCACGAACAAAGGCAGAGCTAGTCACGTCCAGAAGTGGGCTCCACCACATCCTCTCCCACAGAATCCCTCCTGAAGCCACTCTCAGCCCAAAGAGCTAGCAGTGAGCTGGATGAAAAAGCGTTCTACAGTGAGAAAAACAAGCACGTTTCTATCTTGTCCATGGAGCGGAACACACAAGCTCAAAGACAGACAACGTCCCCTGCAAAGAGGAATGGCAGTTTTGCGAAGTACCTCGTTGTCAAACTAGACAGCACAGGATCAGAGAGCGAGACAGAGTAACAACAGGTGGTTAAATCAAACATACCCTCTGTACAGTTGGCATCAGTCAGTCAATTAAGGCGTACATTCACCCAATAACTGTGAAACACGATCCGGGCGGAGTTGTCCTGACTGACTGGCCATAATGTGTGGTCCAGAGGTACACCAAAGCCATTCCATTCTAGTACAAGCTATTAACACACCAAGACAAGGGGAGAAAATAGACACAGACACACATTTCAGTTGACAAACAATAATAGTTATTTATTAAGGGAAAAATGAATGTACATTTTATGCCTCCAAAACAGGGAGAACACTGATAAATAAAGCCTAATTATAAAAAGCTTAAATTGATCCAAAAATCCACAATCAATACTTTAAAAGTTCGATTTGTACATGACACATATTTACATAATTGTTGTTTTGCCCTTTTTATTTTTTACATGGAATTCAGCAAGAAAAAAAATGTACCTTTTTAGTACATACAACATATTACTTTAAAAGCACTGGTTTACAATATAACTGTAAAACACACTCCAACCCCTCACAGATGCTGGTTAATAGTGCATTTCAATTTGAGCATAATATCTTTGCATTTGCCACAATGCATCATGTACAACGTTTCAGAGCTACTGTTGCACTGCTCAACTTCTATACCGTAGAAGTTGAAGGGATAATTAGCAGATATTCCTGGAGGAATATAAAGTGGTGAGGGTAGGGTCTAATGTAGGTGCGTTCACACCTGTCAAAAGTGGAATCTGTCTATTCATGCATGTCAGTGTGTGAATGAACCAATCAATCAAAATGCCAATGATCCCTCCCTATGCTTTCACTTTTGTAAAATCACTAAGCAAGGCCATAATACACCTTGTTAATGTGGTGTTTCACATTGCATATATATGACCAGGGGGCATTGTTGTGAGATATCAAGATGACAAATCCCACTGAGTGAATAGTGGTGGAAAATTGACAAAGCGCCATCTGATGGTCAAAAGAAGGCAAGATGAGGCAGAAAAGAGGAAGCAGAACAGTTATGAGTTAGTGATTAGCACCATATTTCAGTTTTACAGACAGTCAGGAGAGGGGATGGCTTTTCTGTGCTTTCGCCTTCAATTCTGCTCATCAGCAGAAAAGAGAAAGAACACAACTCTGCTGAAATATTAGGCTTTATGCAGTTCTGGCTATACGAATCAAAACCCGAAACTGGAGCGTAGATGGAAAAAAAATCAATGAATAAAATCCAGGGACATTAATTATTCTGGACCATTTGAGAGGCACAAGAGAGTTTATGGCACCACAGTCCATCGTATACAAGAGCAGACTGCAGGGAAAATAGGGAAATATGAGGTTGTGTCCAGAGTAAAGGTTTGGTTTGGTTTTACTAAAAGTACAGCCTGTCCTGCAGGCTGATATATCCATGTAATTCCAATGGGATTAACAAAGGGAATGGTTGGTCCGGGCTAGATTAATCTATTCCAATATCAGCATTCAAATATTACTGGGGGAAGAAAATCTGAATTTCGGTCCATTCTTGTGAGATAGCTATTCCTTAGTTTCGACTCAGTCTGGGTCAATTGAATGATTGTCACTCAATGTCAAGGAGAAAGTCTCTTCACTTGTAACAGACTGAATATTATCTAAAGTGCTCATCACCTTCAAACCGTGTGTGCCAGTATTGCATTGCAGTGATTGACAAATAAAATGGTTCACAAATTCAAGTGTGCAGTGGAGGAATACAACAAGTACCACAAATGTTTCTTCTACCTATTCAGTCTGCTGGAACCGTAACAAACAGTTTTCATCATTACATTCAAATGCAAAGTGGACAATTATCTCCCTTACACAGAATCTCTTTCTTCCTCATCTGTCTCTCTCTCTCTCTGAGACATGCTTATCTTTCTCTCCTCTCCTCTGCTACAAGCTATTCTTTCTCTTTGCTTGTCTTCCATTTCTCCCAGACTCATTCATCCTCCTCTCATAACTCTGTCAGTCATGTCTCCTCTGCCCTGACATTGAGTCGCCTTTCTTTAGAACTTCTACAATGTTGTATTTTAATCATTTAGCAGACGCTCTTATCCAGAGAAACTTACAGGAGCAATTAGGGTTAAGTGCCTTGCTCAAGGGCACAACAACATATTTTTCACCTTTGCCAGCTCAGGGATTCAAACCAGCGACCTTTCGGTTACTGGCCCAACGCTCTTAACCGCTAGGCTACCTGCCACCCATTTGAGTGATTATATTGTATAACTTCTGACGTAGAGTTGATGGGAGAAATGTTCCTCAAGTTCCTTACAGGCGGGAATGAAGCATTATGGGGCCCAGTGTTAAGCAATACCTTGACAAGTATGACAAGAAAACCATTGTATAAGCTTTACTCACTCAACTGGAATTGTTAAATAGGGTGTATGCTCTCTTTTGTCATTTTGGCTATCAGGGTATACTTGAATTTGTGAAATGCAGAACATTCTATAACAGTCCCCACGGCACCTGCTCTGTTAAATCTTCCCTTCAGATAGAAAATGAATGTTAGCTACTGTATACTTCATGAATGATACAATTTCCTCTACCCATGGTATAACTCCTGAAACTGTCCAAATCATATCTGAACACTATCAAAGCCAAGGCAACCAACCCATGCAAGCCAATCCAATCCATGCCACATCAGACTTGCAGAATCCTAATTCTGTTCATCCAAAAGTCACACCTCGACACTTCAGAATGGCAACTGGGAAGTGTCTGCATGGTTCCCTAAAAAGGTCACAGGAAATGCTCTAGTTGTACTTCCTGTCCATGGCCATCCCCTTCAGGTCAGTGGGTAGGGTACAGGATGTCAATGGGGTGCATATCTATCTGGCCACACTACTACAGAGTCTGGGCAGTCAGCTGATGCAGTCACTGTGATGCTGTGAGTGTGGGGCATTGTGGGATAGTGGACCCCCAAGGAATCAGCAGAAGAAGATCTCTCCATCGGCCTGAAGCCCTGTGACCCCAGTGTTCTGGGGATCTGTGGAGAAGAAAGATGGACATATACTTTAGTTAGACTACACTGTAACAATATCCCTCAGTGTCTAGCACAGGTAAGTAGACTTTTACCATGGCTCTATTTTCCTTACAAAGATGTGTGCTGCTAGTTTACCTGGCTGTGATTGGCCCTTCCCTTTCTTCTTCTTCTTCTCCTTCTTGTCCTTGGTCTTGGCCAGCTGCATCAGGCGGTTGGGGATTTGGTTCTGGCCGTCTGTGCTGCTCTGGGCCTTGGAGCTGGCGTTGGAGGAAGAGGACGAGGAGGAGAAGGGGTTCAGGTTCTTCCCTTTCCTCTTGGATCCCATCCTGAGGAAGGGGTCTTTGGTGGCGGGGGAGGAGGACAGCTCTGCCTCCCCTCCTCCAGGCTCTTTATCCAGAGAGGTGGAGCTCTGAAACTTCATGGACTCCTCTGAGGTGGAGGAGGGCGTCCGCTGGGTCCTGTGTGCCTGCTCTGCCTACCGATCAAATCAAACACCATGCAACAAGAAAAATAGTTACGCTTCACATACACTTAGTGATGTTATCTTAAAATTAATGTAAGAGATTATATCTCGGAGTCAAGGTTGAGCTAGCTTTAGGATTAGAAGCTCAGGCTTGAGCCCAGGTGGAGGTTAGGGTAAGCAGTAAGTAAAGGGTTAATTCTAAGGGCATCACTAAATAATGTATGTGTAGTCAATTGTGGTAAAATGCTGTTACATCAAAGTAGCAGACAGAGAGCAATGGGCAGCACCAACTGTTCTAGCTCACCTCAGCCTTTTTCATCTGCTCCACCATCTCAGCCTCCCTCCGCAGCGTCTCCCTGTCTCTGTCCAGCTTCCTCTGGGCGTCCCTCAGCCTCTCCAGATCCCTCTGGTACTCCTCCTTCCTCCTCTGCAGCTCCTGCCTCTCCTCCTCCAGCTGCCTGCGCCTCCTCGCCGTCTCCTCGTCCTGCTCCTTCACCTGCGCCTCCCTGTCGCTCAGCCCCGACTCCCTCACCTCCCACTCCCTCTCCCTCCTCCTCCGCTCGTCAACGTGGGCCGCCTGCTGGCGCTGCAGGTTGGCTACCTCCTGCCTCTGCTTCTCCAGGCTGCGCTGCTTCTCCTGCTCGATCAGGGAGTTGGGCCGCGAGGAGGTGGAGGACAGGGAGGAGGTGGAGGAGTGGCGGGAGGCTGGCCGCTCAGCCAGAGCATGACGCTGGTTCTCGATGAAGGTGTCCTGCTGAACCACCACCGCCTGCAGAACACACACGGATGTAAACAGTCGTATCACCTATACTAATGGACTGCTTGTGTGTCAGTGTGCTTTTTAGCAGCTCTATTTGGTCTAACCATAGAGGAGATGTGAGGAAGTGTCCGTACCTGCAGTGTGTTGAGGAGGTCATGGAGATGTGTGACACTATGGAGGACCTGCTATTAGACAGGAAGAGAGATTATAAAAAATGTCACCTCTGCATATGGTTACACAGTAGGTACATATACACAAAAATACTTCCTATGAAATAACCTACTGCATAGCACAGTACAGCAGAGAGAGGCTTGTGCGTGGGAGCAAATATAGTGATGCCTCTCTCACAGAGCCAGTTAGTCAGTCAGGGATGTACAGTTTGCTGGAAGCCTAACATAGCGTAGGAGTCAGACCTACCTCACTGTTCCTCTTGAGCAGCAGCAGTAGGTTGTTGTTGCCCCCCTGTGGACGAAGACAAGCACAGCTGCAGTTAGTTACTGAGATATTAACAGAGCTACCGAGGGGCAATGTTAATCACCCCCTCAGAGGAAGAGCTTGATCCCACCTGCCTGCCGGAGAGGCCTGGGCCTGAGCAGAGGAGATTATAGGCATTCAAAGCACAGGGCTGCTCCCACACAGCCCAGCCTGGACCGGGGGCATCGCCTAGCCTCATGGAGCCTTAACAATATGGACTTCCTCAGTTTTGCTCAGCCCTCAGTCCAGGGCCAGGGCTAATGTCTGTCTGTTAATGTCAGTGGTGGTGATGGGCAGACGCAGGCCTTCTGAGACACAGCTCAGTTTAAATCCCTCCTGATGGCATGGGTTAGAAGAGTTAAAAAGAATGGAAAGTTCATGCACAAAGTGCACGGTGTGTGTGTGTGTGTGTGTGTGTGTGTGGTGTGTGGTGTGTATCCTTTGATGTGGCACATACACACATCTCTGAGCTGTCTAGTTACTGTAATTACCTTCTTTAACACACTGTCTGACTCAGTCCTCCGAAGGTCTAATGAGTCATCCCCCTCTTCTTTCTCTCCGTCTGGAAGGAAAAACAGGAGACCTTTAGCCCACAGCTGCAGATAATGACAGTCACCTGCAGCATGACAGCCAGTCAGGGTACATAGGGAGAGAGGGAGTAGGAGTGTGTGAGTTGTTCTTACTCTTGGAGATGTTCATCTGGTGGCTGTCGAAGCCTCCGAAGGTCTCAGCGCGACGAGGCAGACAAACCGGCCCCACACTGCCCCCTGATGCATCCTGGGTACTGGACACCTGCTGCCCCACGGCCCCGCCCAGACTGCCATTCACCAGCACATGGAGAGTCTCCACTGAAACACACACAAACCACACACGTGAGGATAGGTCCTGCGCTCTGGTGTAGAGGGCTGCAGAGATCATTGAGGCGTGGTCTACATTTTTCATGCTGTGGGCGGGAGAGGGCATGCGGTCAGACAATTTTGGGATGAATTTTTTTTTTTGTTCTGCAGAATATTTGGAAACGCTGGTCTTTCTGCCTTGTATGCTTTAGCCTACCTATTGTATTAAAAGCACATCTTTGTTGCATTATTCATACACTCTCAGAATTCGCTGCTTCAACTTCAGTAGCCTACCTCTCCTCTCCTAGTTGGGCGTGTGAGATCAAGTGTGCCTAGTATATGTGTAGCCTGCCTATGCATGGGTGGAGAATCACATGGTGGTTATCCTTCCAAGGAAATTAACTAATACAGGATTATATCGTTTACTACAGTGTCTGTAAATAAATATTGATAATGGAAAGAAGTGGAGGGCGCTCACACAAGTGAGTCGTGGTGCAATCAAACAAATAATTGAAAACCCTTACGGAAGAAACACATGAATTCTACATGTGAAATCATGTGCAAACGTGTTTTTAGAAGATTTCACATGAGATATTATTGAGGGGATTCGATTATCTAGCATGGTTTGCCCCGGTGTGAGGAGTTTACTTTTGAAACCAGGCTGCCTCCCGGGCGTGAGCCAGGTGCCCTGTTCAAAGCCCACGGCGAAGTCGGCTCCAAACAAAAGTGACGTAGATTAAGCACGTGGAGTAATGAAAAAAGTGATTGCTTTTAGATATGCTTTATCTGCCTTCCAAATGAAAACTAGTTTGAAAATACTAACACATTTTATGGAAAAGAGATGTTGTATGTTTCTGGACAATGCACCATGCTGCCTTGTTGACAACATGACCGAGCGTCGCAGATTACTGTTTGATTTGAGAAGGACACTCCTCCCTCGCCACTTTTGCCCGTTCACGTCACTGGCCATAGACCGCTGCACCGCGGCTCAGGTTAATAGAACTCCCTCTATGTTTGCACATAGTAATGGTATAATGGTTTTAAAGTAAGTGGTACGCTGTTCATCTAAAACATATGAAGGAATCAGTTCATCTGACTATTCTCTCATCATTCATTTCATTTCCTTATTCAGCAATTTGAGTTTTTCTTGAGTGTATCTGGTATTTTCATATTTTATCAGGATTAGCTGTTGCGAAAACAGTAGCTACTTTTCCTGGGGTCCACACAAAACATGAAATATGACATAATACAGAACATTAATAGACAAGAACAGCTCAAGGACAGAACTACATAAATGTAAAAACGGCACACGTAGGCGTTGTGCCGTGAGGTGTTGCTTTATCAGTTTTTTTAAACCAGGTTTGCGGTTCTTTTGAGCAATATGAGATGGAAGGGAGTTCCATACAGTAATGGCTCTATATTATAGTAGACGCTTTCTTGAATTTGTTCTGGATTTGGAGACTGTGAAAATACCCCTGGTGGCATGTCTTGTGGGTTAAGCGTGTGTGTCAGAGCTGTGTGTAAGTTGACTATGCAAACAATTTGGAATTTTCAACATATTAATGTTTCTTATAAAAACAAGAAGTGATGCAGTCAGTCTTTCCTCAACTCTTAGCCAAGCGAGACTGGCATGCATAGTATTTATATTAGCCCTCTGATTACAATGAAGAGCAAGACTTCTGGGCCAGCTGCAGCTTAACTAGGTCTTTCTTTGCAGCACTTGACCACACGACTGGACAATAATCAAGATAAGACAAACTAGAGCCTGAAGGACTTGGTTTTTGGAGTGTGGTGTCAAAAAAGCAGAGCATCTATTTATTATGGACAGACCTCTCCCCTTCTTTACAACCATTGATTCTATATGTTTTGACCATGACAGTTTACAATTTAAGGTAACACCAAGTAATTTAGTCTCAACTTGTTCAACAGCCACACCATTCATTACCAGATTCATCTTCAGATTCAGAGGTCTAGAGCTTAGGGAATGATTTGTACCAAATACAATGCTCTTAGCTTTCGAGATGTTCAGGACCAGTTTATTACTGGCCACCCATTCTATATCTTTAACCAAGCTGAGATTGACTTTGACGTCCAAAGTGTAGGAATACAGTTGAAATCAGTCATTGACACAGACGTGGTGGAGTGGCAGAAATATCTGAATGCAGTGAACTAAGAGGTTGTGAGTTCAAATCCCAGGTCAGGACACATTAAATAATAATTACTGTATAAATGAACATGCAATGTAGTCATGTGTGTCAAATATGTAAGATGAAAAAACGATGTTTTCCACATGTGAACTTATGTGATTTTCCACATGTGAACTTATGTGATTTTCCACATGTGAACTTATGTGATTTTCCACATGTGAACTTATGTGATTTTCCACATGTGAAATCATGTGTTTTTTCCGTAAGGGAAGGAAAATGTGAAAGCATGCATATAGGTTACCATGGTGAGTGAGCGTTGCGCCTTTTCAATAAATATTGATTAGTCATTTATTTGTCTCTGCCTGCAAATTGTCGTGCTCCTAAAAAGGTAGGCTATATCCTATATGCAAAACGTAGCTCAAGAGAAAGTGCCACTGTCCGCTCTCATCATTCTTGCTGCTTCAATTTCAGTAGCCATACAGTTCATGCGAGATCAGGTGCGCGTGTGGTCTCAATTAAATAGCCTAGATTAGGCTATAGCCTATGCACAGGCGGAGAAGCACAGGGCAGTTATCTTTCCAAGGAAATTAACTTACTAAATATGATTAGCCTATAGTTTACTACATTGCATAGAATTAAATATGAATCACCCATATTTGTCTCCATCTGAAAGATGCCCCGCTCATAAAAGGTAGTCTATGAACCGTAGCTCAAGAGAAAGTGCATGTCTCTGCTCTCTCTCCAACTATGCTCTCTTCAAACTATGCCTAGCCTATTGGCTGATATAGCCCAGTAATACCTATAGCCTAATATAATGGGCCACGTGACAATCTCTGGTAATTTAACCTATTTCTTAAGTTATTTTTGCGCATTTTGTTATTGCCTATAGGGCGCACAATTGCTAGGACCATGGCTGGCAAGTAAACTGCATCACATATGCCCAAAATAACCAGGGACCAGTTCTTGCGGGAGCAGGTGGGAGTCAGATAGAAAGCCAGCAGGAGGGAGCGGGCGGGTGTGGTATGAAGAAATTAGTCCTGCGCAGACCTCTACTCTGGTGCTTTATTCTTGCAGTACCGTGACATAAAATCATTCACAGTTGTGTGTTGTTTTTCATTGCTATTTGCCAGGTCTTGTGACCATTGCATGGTTACATGTACGCACACACATACACACGCACACACATCATCCTGTACGATTTCAGTAACGTCTACTACACACACTACTATCAGCTAAAGCAACCCAGTCAGACCTACATAAACTGGGTTACTAAGGGAAGAGAAAATGAGGAAAATATCAATATCTGGCCCATTACTCAACCTGCAGCTTTAAAGCAATCCATTTGTTTTCTTTCTGCACAGCAGAATCAGATTACACTTATGCATTGATTCCATCCCTGTCTACAGAGTGGAAAAAATGATATAAATAACTATGACAAGTACCCATATATCACTCTGGCTTTAGCCAACAATGCGTTTTCAGCAGTATTCTGTAATCTCTCTGCCCTGGTCTTTCAGCTGCTACTGGCATTATATTATACATGGGGTATTTTCAGGTAATTCCCCAATTACTTCTAATTGGTTATGTGTTTCTTCAGGGGGAAATCACTGGTTGGGCCATGTGACCAGGTAATTCAATAGGTCACCACTGATTGGATAAAGGGTCACCTGTGTTGTGTGTGTGGTCTCTGGGCCGCCGACTGTCCACTCTTGACTCACCTTCCCTCAAGGCATCCTTCATGATGGGCTCTCCCTTGGTGACGTAGTCTGGGGTGGCTCTGAACAGCATCCTGGTCCTGATGGACTGGGCTGGGCTGGTCTCCTCCGCTGGGCCGCTGCCACCCTCACACATGTCCCTGAACACCTTCAACTTCTCCTTCAACAGACACACGATCTGCTCGTCCTTCTTCCTCAGCAGCTCTGGGAGGAACAGACAGAGGGAGACACTGTGGTTATTACCTGTCTTACTGGTCATATTTTTGGGCAAATGGTTAGCAGAACAAAAGAGAACAGGTTTTACCTCTCATCTCCCGTGCTTTGGTCTCCAGCAGTCTCTTGTCTTCCTCGGTCTCACTGGGGATTCCCTCATCATCATCCTTCTCTCTGTTCACATACACAATCATTTATCAATCAAACCATTTACACTGCATTTAAAATAATAAATACGTTAAAAAAACACATTTTCCGTGAACTTTCACGTCTTGACTTTTTTTTTTTACTACCTCTGACTTTGCTGATAGCTACTTTATTGAGTTGAAAAGTACTTACAATGACTGTGATATGTGGTTCTCCCACCTAGCTATCTTAAGATGAATGCACTAACTGTAATTCACTCTGTAAATGTAGTGTCAAGCTAACATGCTCTATATAGTATCTGTGGATATACTGTGTCTGTTCCCATATAAATAGAATTACATCTTTAAAAAAGAATAGAATTGCTGTGGTCTGAGGGGCTTCTCCCATTCTAGTATTTCTATATCTATGTGTGTTCCTGTCTAACTGACTCACATGGAGTGCATGGCGTCCTGTATGAGCTGCATCCAGGTGTTGCGTTCCTCCTTGGTGCTGGCCAGCACCTCCACCATCTCTGGCTTCTCTATCCCCGCTGTGATCAGGAAGAGACCCCTCTCCTCGTTAGCCACCTCCCGCACTATCAGCTTCTGCAGGGAGATCACTGTGGACCGCTGATCCTGAGGGATGGAAGAGAGGGGGTGGAGGGGAAAGAGAGGGGGGGAGGAATGGAGGGAGAGGCGGGAAGAGAGAGAGGGAAGGAGAGGGAGGAAGGAGGTGAAAGGATGTTTAGACCAGATTTCTATTGAAGGATGTATAGACCAGTGGGAGGTTTCTATGGAAGCTACTTGCGGGAAATTCAATGTTTAGCCCAAGGAAACGGGAACTGAATGAAAACTCCAATCTCCACTGAATGATAAAAAACTGCAGGATAGCAAAATTCTGCCAAGAGTGTAACCATGCCAATGTTACTGGTTCATTAAAACGTGCATATACCATACAATAGCCTTGTGTGGTAGTCTTACACAATATAGCTGGAAAACCTAGATAGACCTGTATTGTAACAGCAAAGCAAGCTAATCTTGGAGTAAACTAACGCGTGATAGACCTGTATTGTAAAAAAAGGGCATGGTTCTTTATACTTCAGAGTGTAGTACCATAGGGAACAATGTGCTGGGAATAACAAACATAACATACCAGTGAGGCAAAGACATATTTCTGGTCTTTCTCCTGGAGGAACACAAACACGTCCGACAGCAGCATGGCCTGGACATCTATGGAAAATAACAGAGTCAGGATCAGTGGAGGAAAGAAGGGGGGGGGGGGGGGGGGGGGGGAATAGAGAGAGGGGAGAGAGGGAGAGAGAGAGAGAGAGAGAGAGAGAGAGAGAGAGAGAGAGAGAGAGAGAGAGAGAGAGAGAGAGAGAGAGAGAGAGAGAGAGAGAGAAAAAGAGACGGAGGGGGAATAAGAGAGCGAGAAGGGGAGAGAAGGACAAGAAAAATATAGAAAGAGTGGGGGAGAGAGGAGGGGATGAGAAAGAGAGGAGATGGAGAAAGAGAGAGAGATAGACAGGAGAGAGCAAGAAAGAGAGAGTGAGACAGTGATAAACGAGGCTGATCCCATACCCTTTAGCCTGCCTGCAGAGTTCTTGAGCTGCAGCGGTCCGTCATGCAGCAGCCTCCTGCCTCTCACCAGGTCCTCCCGTGCAAACATCTGTCCGCTCTTCATCCTCTGAATGGACTTGCTGTCCGTACGACTGTACACCTCTTTTAACCGTTTCTTCTTATCATGTTCGTTCACCTTGCTGTCCACTGCATTTAGAATCTCCTTCACCAGCCTCAGAGCCTGGGTTATATCCTCATGGTCCTCCTCGTTCTCTGTACATGTCAAACATCAGCATGTCACTTCAATACATATTGTACAGAGGCCAAGACTTCCCAACAATCTCCATTGCGTTCTTTCTGCTACCAACAAAGTTTACGAGTGCCATTCAAAGCATACAGAATAAGACTATATAACATTACTCAGTAGAGGTGTAGCTATAAGTCTCACAGGAGGTCTCTCTCACCTTTGGTGTGCTGCAGTATCCTCTGTAGTAACACGGGGTACTTGGTTATTCGCTGTGTCACTAATAAGATGCACTCTGGGATGCCTAGTCTTCGGACGATTGTGCTACTCATCTTTTTCTGAAAAACAAATAAAATAGAGATACTTATATAGTGTTTCATACAATGTCTTAATGATGACTTTAGCAGATGTAAATGTGTGTTTAAACCCACACAAAAAATGACAACAGAGTGTTGGCCCCATCTGGTGGAGAGAGTGATATTTTCCATACTGTTTAGGGCCCTAATTATTGATGGTGAGATTAGGATATGTAAACAAACATCACGCTGACACCAGAGAGTAGTTACCTTGATAAAGGCTTGGAAGCGTTTGTCTTTGGTGTGAAGCTCCTTATAAAAGTTGACCGCCTCATTGTGGCGGCTGCAGAATTTCCCATATACTTTTTTCATGCGGTCGGCATTGGGACCTGAGAACTGAACACCAGACAAGAAAATCATGTAAGATTACTACCAACAAACCGATTTGCCTAATAATCAACATTTCTACAACATTCAACGTTCTCTAAACCAAATCTTCCCCTGCTGACCTGTGAGACGAGCACATCTCCTATCTTGCGGATGAGGAAGCTACCGTCGTCCCGGCCCTCGATGGAGGATTCCCTCTTGCGTTCCAGGAGGTGTGTGAAGAAGTGTGTGTGTAGTTCCAGGAGTTCATCCAGCATGGGGAAAACTCGCTCCACCACCTGGGTCTCCAGTTGCACCTCCTTTTGCAGTCCCTTACTGTACACCTCAGACATGATCCTCAGCGTCCGCACGTGGTGCATCTCTGTCTGGACCAGTTCTGGAGAGGGGCATGATGGGAATGGTTATAGTATTATAAAAATTATTTAGGGTTAAAGATGAGGGGTTATAGTGTGAATTCCCAATGAACAGCACCCTACTATTGCGTTTGTAGTGAGTAACCGATATCCTAACCCACAATACTGATGATATGATAACTTCTCCAATAAATTGCTTGAACGAAACAAAGTAAATCCCAATGTAATGGCATGAGTGGTAGTGCGAGTGTCCTCCTACCATAGATTACGTCCTGTCTCTTGACCACTTCCTTCTTGAGCCCCTTCACATACTTCTTGTCCACAGTGAAGGTCCAGGAGTCTGCCTCCAGATCCTTAGACTCCGCCTCAAACTCCCCCATCAGCTGGCTGTCCATCATTTCAGTCCCTACGACAACACAGACAGGAACACGAGGGCTTGCTATACTGTAGGTACTGTGAGCATACGTGTGCGCTCCTACACATACACTGTTCATTACTGAGCTAGGATCAATGCAATCAATACATTGAAATAAAACAGCTGAAAACATCGGAGGTAATCTGAACATGTTCAATGTGTTTCACATTTGCTCACTCATTTGAAGCGATCCCTACAATGATGGGGGAACATGATTAGACAATACAGGCTCTATGACTTGATGACTCTTAGGGTAACTCACCTTCATCAGTGAGAGACTCAGTGGACTCGTTGACCTTGGAGATCTTGTGTAGTGAGTCTGTGGACTGGGACAGGTACTTCAAGCCCTTCAGAGGCATCTCATCCATCAATGGCCTGCATGGACAGACAGACGGAGTGGGAGAGAGAAACATAGTTAGTGAAAGAGTGACTATCAGAGTAATAACATAAGTTGCGTACACACTCACACAAGTGATGAGTGTGTCAGCATGAAAATGTACAACCCGAGTGTGTGAAGGGGGCGATAGTGAGCTGGTTGGTGGTTGAGTGGTGTTGTGTCTCACCCTGCGATATTGCTGATGGAGATGCTCTTGGACAGGTTGCTGGAGAGGATGCTGGGATTCCTGCGAGGCACCACCGCCGCCACCGTGACCATGGCCTGGTTGTCAGGGGACGAGATGGCAGACCACGGACGCTCCCGAGATGACGACGACGTGGCTGATCACAAGCACAGAAATTAGTATATCTCATAGAGATATGGGTGCACATAAATGCACAGGCAGCCTAATGCATATGGACACAAACTTACTGTACTTAAAAATATACATGCAGTACTTGAGAATACATACATGCAGTACTTGAGAATACATACATGCAGTACATGAGAATACATACACTACCGGTCAAAAGTTTTAGAACACCTCCATTTTTCCAGTTTTTATTGAAATTCACACAGTTTAATGTCTTAATGTACTCTGAAATTAAAAGCGTAGAACAAATAAACAATTGGAGACAAAAAATAAATCATGGAATCGTTTTGTTTAACAAAATGTAATCAACATTTTTGACTCATCAAAGTAGCCACCTTTTGCAGACATAACAGCCGAACACACTCGTGGCATTCTTTCTACAATGCAAATCAAATATTGTTTGGAAAGTTCTTCCCAACACTGTTGCAGAAGATCCCACAAATGTGTTGCACTTGTAGGGTGCTTTGCTTTCACCCTTCTGCCCAGTTCATCCCAAACCAGCTGGATGGGGTTTATGTCTGGAGACTGTGCTGGCCATTCCATGATTTGAAGTCTACCATCTTGTTATTTTCTTCTAAGGTAGTTCTGACAGCCTGGAGGTACAGTGAGGGAAAAAAGTATTTGATCCCCTGCTGATTTTGTACGTTTGCCCACTGACAAAGACATGATCAGTCTATAATTTTAATGGTAGGTTTATTTGAACAGTGAGAGACAGAATAACAACAACAAAATCCAGGAAAACGCATGTCAAAAATGTTATAAATTGATTTGCATTTTAATGAGGGAAATAAGTATTTGACCCCTCTGCAAAACATGACTTAGTACTTGGTGGCAAAACCCTTGTTGGCAATCACAGAGGTCAGACGTTTCTTGTAGTTGGCCACCAGGTTTGCACACATCTCAGGAGGGATTTTGTTCCACTCCTCTTTGCAGATCTTCTCCAAGTCATTAAGGTTTCGAGGCTGACGTTTGGCAACTCGAACCTTCAGCTCCCTCCACAGATTTTCTATGGGATTAAGGTCTGGAGACTGACTAGGCCACTCCAGGACCTTAATGTGCTTCTTCTTGAGCCACTCCTTTGTTGCCTTGGCCATGTGTTTTGGGTCATTGTCATGCCGGAATACCCATCCACGACCCATTTTCAATGCCCTGGCTGAGGGAAGGAGGTTCTCACCCAAGATTTGACGGTACATGGCCCCGTCCATCGTCCCTTTGATGCGGTGAAGTTGTCCTGTCCCCTTAGCAGAAAAAAATGTTTCCACCTCCATGTTTGACGGTGGGGATGGTGTTCTTGGGGTCATAGGCAGCATTCCTCCTCCTCCAAACACGGCGAGTTGAGTTGATCCCAAAGAGCTCGATTTTGGTCTCATCTGACCACAACCCTTTCACGCAGTTCTCCTCTGAATCATTCAGATGTTCATTGGCAAACTTCAGACGGCCCTGTATATGTGCTTTCTTGAGCAGGGGGACATTGCGGGCGCTGCAGGATTTCAGTCCTTCACGGCGTAGTGTGTTGCCAATTGTTTTCTTGGTGACTATGGTCCCAGCTGCCTTGCGAACCTTGACAAGATCCTCCCGTGTAGTTCTGGGCTGATTCCTCACCGTTCTCATGATCATTGCAACTCCACAAGGTGAGATCTTGCATGGAGCCCCAGGCCGAGGGAGATTGACAGTTATTTTGTGTTTCTTCCATTTGCGAATAATTGCACCAACTGTTGTCACCTTCTCACCAAGCTGCTTGGCGATGGTCTTGTAGCCCATTCCAGCCTTGTGTAGGTCTACAATCTTGTCCCTGACATCCTTGGATAGCTCTTTGGTCTGGCCATGGTGGAGAGTTTGGAATCTGATTGATTGATTGCTTCTGTGGACAGGTGTCTTTTATACAGGTAACAAGCTGAGATTAGGAGCACTCCCTTTAAGAGTGTGCTCCTAATCTCAGCTCGTTACCTGTATAAAAGACACATAGGAGCCAGAAATCTTTCTGATTGAGAGGGGGTCAAATACTTATTTCCCTCATTAAAATGCAAATCAATTTATAACATTTTTGAAATGCGTTTTTCTGGATTTTTTTGTTATTATTCTGTCTCTCACTGTTCAAATAAACCTACCATTAAAATTATAGACTGATAATTTCATTGTCAGTGGGCAAACGTACAAAATCAGCAGGGGATCAAATACTTTTTTCCCTCACTGTATGTTTTGGGTCATTATCTTGCTGTAGGATGAAGCCCTGACCAGCTAGGTGTACACCAGAGGGTATTGCATGGCACTGCAAAATGCTGTGGTGCCGTTTTGGTTCAGGGTGCCACTCACTTTGTGCAAGTCGGCGACTCTGGATCCAGCAAAAGAGCCCCAGACCATCACGCTTCCTCCTCCATGTTTGACAGTTGGTGTCACACACTGAGGAACCATCCTTTCGCCTACGCGACGGAGTACAAAAACCCTGTGTGATGAACCGAAGATTTCACATTTTCATTAATCGTTCCATAAGGCCTTCTTCCAGTCTTCAGTAGTCCACTGGCGGTGCTTCATGGCCCAGGCAAGCCTTTTTTTTTTTTTTTGCCATCTTAGCAATGGCTTTCTTACTGCCACTCCACCTGTCAAACCTGCAGCTCGAAGTCTTCTCTTCACAGTTGAAACTGAGACTTGCTTACTTCGACCAGTGTTAAGCTGTGCTTGAAGCTGTTGTCCTGTGAGCCGCATATCACGCAAGCTGTTGACCTCTTCCTGTCAGAGTTTCCTCCAGTTTCCAGGTGCCATTTGATGGTGTAGGAAACTGTACTTACTCACTGACACCTTGGCTTTCTTTGCAATTTCTCTAAAGGAAAGACCTACACTGTTAAGGGTTATAATGGTCTGTCTGTCTTCCTTTGTTAATTGCCTTTTCCTCGCCATTATGACAGCAATATACTACTTCCTGCAGTACAATACTGTCCAAATAATGCTTAAGAGGGTGTAGTAACACAGTCTGTTCCAACACTGCTTTTATACAGACAGAGGGTTTGGAAGTAATCAACAAAAGTTGGGACACCTGTAGTAATTGTTAGCATCAACTTTCAAGGCTTAATTGACTTCCATTGCTGCAGAACAGCTGTAAGTTGTTAACCCTTTACTTGTTCCCTGAAAAAGGCCTCTTTTTATAACTCTGAAATGTACATTATTTTTCACTTTTTTAAAAATATTTTTTTACCTCTGGCAGTTTACCATTTCAGGTTATTCACTTGACTTGAACTGCTTAAATGTCAATAAAAACAGGAAAAAAAAGTCTTCTAAAACTTTTGACCGGTAGTGCACATGCATTACTTGAGAATACATACATGCAGTACTTGAGAATACATACATGAGAATACATACATGCAGTACTTGAGAATACATACATGCAGTACTTGAGAATCAGTGGAGGCTGCTGCAGGGAGGACGGCTCATAATAATGGCTGGAATGGAGTTTAATGGACTGAATGGAGTGGTATCAAACATATGAAAACCATGTGTTTGATCCCATTCCATTCACTCCATTCCGGCCATTATTATGCGCCGTCCCATTCTCAGCAGCTAGATCATATTTGCATAGATAGAAACAAACATAGATATAGGTTTGATTAGAATGACAGACATGGAATTAGTGTACAAATAAGTATGTATTACATTTACATCTCAACATGACTCCGGACACGGATGCAGAATCTACCACGGTCTGCTGCTTCTGCTGCTGAAAAACACAACGGAATGTCCCCTTAAAATACAGTGGAGTATTACGATACATCAATGCCAATAACAAGCCTGTTGCCAATTCATTCACATGTTAGACAGAGACTGATCAGACACATTCTGTTCCTGTGTGTGTGAGTGACGACGCATTGTAGACAGCTGAAAGACAGAGCAAAGCCAAACTTTACCTTCATTTTGACCTTGACACACACAGGAAGACTCTCTCTGCAGCCCTTATGGACCTGTGCATTGCAGTCTGAAATTATCAGAAGAAAAACAACATTAGGACAAAGAGTTGGTTGAAAAATTGGTCAAACACTGCAGAAAAAGCCTCCACTCATCTCACAGGACAGAATACTGTGATTCTAATGTAGGTAGAAAAAAAACAATGTTCACCTGCATCACGTGACTCATACCAAATCAACACTGCTTCGTTCACCTGCATCACGTGACTCATACCAAATCAACACTGCTTCGTTCACCTGCATCACGTGACTCATACCAAATCAACACTGCTTCTTTGAACCACCCTGAACTATAGAAACTAACAGACAACAAGACGAAACTCTAATCTGAATAAGCTGAGAAAATGCAGGCGCCATCAAAAAACTGCTCATCTAACCACATAAAAGCAACACAATGACTAACAGAGGAATCAGGGCTTAGTGTGGAGTATGAAAAGGCCATTGAGTTCAAAGAGCTCCCCTGCACCTCCACTCAAGCCCATCCAACTAACACCAACACAACAACAACAATTCAGGGAGGGAACAGAAGGGAAGGAAGACAACAATGAGCTAGCTGTTGCTCTCTCCCAGATGGAGGTTTTACACAGTGAGAGGGGATTGTGTTGTGCAACAGGGTGTGTGTCCTTCTATTTTTTCGTGGCCAGCTTGTGGGAGTTATTTTGATTGTGTGTCAAACACAGATCCTGACAGACTGAATCTCTCAAAGTTAAGCTGAGAGAACAGAGAGAGGAGGCAGGTGTCCATTACACTAAACTCTATTCTTTTATATTTCATACAAAACTTACTCACACTCCACAAAGCCCTATTTTACTTTCAAGCTAGCAGATAGAGTTAAGGATCACAGTCATTGATCAATATTTAGTTTTTCAATCTCTGAATTGTCAAAACTAAGGGCTTGTCAAACCCTTTGTGGGCCGCAATGCTGTGAAACACATCGTGACTAAAACGAAGTCACTTCTGAGAAATTTGACACGGAAACCTAAATAGGGCTTACAGCAAAATATACTCTGCCAGTGTGTGTGAGAGACAGACATACAGAGAGAGAGAGAGAGAGAGAGAAAGAGAGAGAGAGAGAGAGAGAGAGAGAGAGAGAGAGAGAGAGAGAGAGAGAGAGAGAGAGAGAGAGAGAGAGAGAGAGAGAGAGAGAGAGAGAGAGAGAGACAGGATGTTTGTCTCCACACAGCAGAGTACAGAGAGACAGAGCCGAGCTGTAAGAGCAGAGCTGACGTCTTCCAGCTGGGGCAGGGTGATGCAACCCAGTGAAAGACTGAGTGGACTGGCTGGGACGAGGGCCACATCCGTCCCCTGTCCCTAGTTCCCTCTAACCACCCACCCCCTCTTCACTGGGACAGACCCACCCAGTCCATCATGCTTCAGACAGACTGACTAGGCTTGGGAGTAGGCTACTCTGCTGTTCTAATGCATGCTGCTGTCCATACAAAGATGGTGGGAGGAATGTACATACTGCCCCGAGAGAGAGTTTCTATATGTCCACTTCTGTTGGCCCCAAAATAAACAACATCCTCTTAAGTTCTCCTCAGACAGACCCTCGCCATGTAGGATTTCCTGTGTTTTGCTTAGTATGGACTTTCTCAACTAGAAAATCTGACTAGGCCGTTTTAGAGAAGTGAATATAGTAAGTAGTCACCATTTTGTCACATGACTTGGAACCAAATAAGACATTCCATCACCAGACATTACACAATGACTGCAAACACAGTTTGAGCCACTGAAAACCAACAGGTAGAAACCCGCTAAGTAATTGTCCAGAGCAGCACCATTCGTAGGCCTATGTAACCACCACGTAAAGAAATAAGGGTTTTGAGGGTTTAATAAAACTAGAGCAGTGTCTCTTACCATGGAACAAAATGACTAAGTTGTGTACTGGGGAGTCTGGTCTCTCATAACACCTGACGTGGGCTGGTTGACAGAGGTGGAGGAAGAAGAAGGAGGAGGAGGAGGAAGAGGAAGTGGTTTACAGAAGAGGAGAGGTGGTGTCTTACTGGTGCAGAGGAAAGCTTCTTTAGTGTTGATGGGTTTGTTGCATTGGTGGCAGGTTGTGGAGGGCGCTGGGTTCACAGAGCTGAAGAGATGGCCGTTCAGGGTCTTCTTCTCCTTGGTGTCTTTCTCCTTCCCCTGACCCTTCTCTTTGTCTTTCTCCTGCAAGGGGATAGAGATAGAAAGAAAATAGTCAAAGCACTGTTATGCTTTCCATAGTTAAGCAATCAAGGTCTTACGAATAGATCTCACACTTAGATAGTAGTTCGCCAAAGCCGAGAACCATGAGTCACTTGCACAAAGATATACTGAGGAAGTATGCTGACATCATTGACCGCTAGTCTCAAAAACCCCTTCCCAACATTCACAAACAGAAACATAATTCCGACAAAAGGTTACAGTATATTAATGTAACCACAGACAATACACTGGGCTGAGAGAAAACACACTATCAGGTTTATTGTACAGATACAGTTGCTTGCGAAAGTCTTCACCCCCTTGGCATTTTTCCTATTTTGTTGCCTTACAACCTGGAATTAAAATGGATTTTTGGGGGGTTTGTATCATTTGATTTACACAACATGCCTACCACTTTGAAGATGCGAAATATTTTTTATTGTGAAACAAATTAGAAATAAGACAAAAAAACAGAAAACTTGAGCGTGCATAACTATTCACCCCCCCCAAAGTCAATACTTTGTAGAGCCACCTTTGGCAGCAATTACAGCTGCAAGTCTCTTGGGGTATGTCTCTATAAGGCAAAACTGTTCCAGCTCCTTCAAGTTGGATGGGTTCCGCTGGTATACAGCAATCTTTAAGTCATACCACAGATTCTCAATTGGATTGAGGTCTGGGCTTTGACTAGGCCATTCCAAGACATTTAAATGTTTCCCCTTAAACCACTCAAGTGTTGCTTTAGCAGTATGCTTAGGGTCATTGTCCTGCTGGAAGGTGAACCTCCATGCCAGTCACAAATCTCTGGAAGACTGAAACAGGTTTACCTCAAGAATTTCCCTGTATTTAGCGCCATCCATCATTCCTTCAATTCTGACCAGTTTCCCAGTCCCTGCCGATGAAAAACATCCCCACAGCATGATGCTGCCACCACCATGCTTCACTGTGGGGATCGTGTTCTCGGGGTGATGAGAGGTGTTGGGTTTGCGCCAGACATAGCGTTTTCCTTGATGGCCAAAAAGCAATGGCTTTTTTCTGGCCACTCTTCCGTAAAGCCCAGCTCTGTGGAGTGTACGGCTTAAAGTGGTCCCATGGACAGATAAGCCAATCTCCGCTGTGGAGTTTTGCAGCTCCTTCAGGGTTATCTTTGGTCTCTTTGTTGCCTCTCTGATTAATGCCGTCCTTGCCTGGTCCGTGAGTTTTGGTGGGCGGCCCTCTCTTGGCAGGTTTGTTGTGGTGCCATATTCTTTCAATTTTTTAACAATGAATTTAATGGTGCTCCGTGGGATGTTCAAAGTTTCAGATATTGTTTTATAACCCAACCATGATCTGTACTTCTCCACAACTTTGTCCCTGACCTGTTTGGAGAGCTTCTTGGTCTTCATGGTGCCGCTTGCTTGGTGGTGCCCCTTGCGTAGTGGTGTTGTAGACTCTGGGGCCTTTCAGAACAGGTGTATATATACTGAGATCATGTGACAGATCATGTGACACTTAGATTGCACACAGGTGGACTTTATTTAACTAATTATGTGACTTCTGAAGGTAATTGGTTGCACCAGATCTTATTTAGGGGCTTCATAGCAAAGGGGTTGAATACATATGCACGCACCACTTTTCCGTTATTTATTTTGTATAATTTTTTGAAACAAGTTATTTTTTTCATTTCACTTCACCAATTTGGACTATTTTTTGTATGTACATTACATGAAATCCAAATAAAAATCCATTTAAATTAATGCAACAAAATAGGAAAAACGCCAAGGGGGATGAATACTTTTGCAAGGTACTGTAGACACTCATTCATGATAGGTACAGGAAACAACCAATATCCTATGATTCTATGATTCTGACTCAACCTAAATACGATGCTCAATCAATTCTCCTGAAAAAGGGAAGAATGTGTGGTGAGAAGAGTATCATCGTGTGTTCCTGTCTGAGCGGTGTGCCATGAGCCAGGCGCTAGTCAACTCTAAACAATGAGGCTGAAGACACTTCTTCACTTCTCATCTAAACACAAGTCACAGGCTGCCAACGAAGACTCCACACCATTCAAAGTCATAGAAATGAACTAGTAGATATGATAAACAAATACAGTAAAAAGGTTACATTAGGAAAGTGTGAGGCACACCTTTGACATGCAGTACAGTAATACATTATGGTGACTAACAACTCTCAATTTCTTCCCAGAAGCCCCAAATGACCAATATCCCCTACCTCATCCTGTCCTGTCTCAGCCCTCAGCTTCAGGGAGCGACCGTGTGCCAGGAGCCGTCTACACAACATTACAGTGACAGTCTTTGCGCTGGTCTGGAACAACAGGCGTTACAGCCTGACAGAACACTGGCGTTCCCATGACGCCAGCCATCAGCCCAACAGGAGGAAGTGAGATACCATGTGTAGGATGAGGGGGGTGGTGGAGGGAGGAGCTGTGCTGTGCCTCTGCACTGCTGTAGTCTGCGGTTTCTGTTACACACCAGCCCCACTGTAGCTTCCGGCCTCTAGCTCGCAATCTCAGCAAATGTTTCTACAGTATGTACAATGTACATACTTTCAAAGCGCAAGTTGGAAGCTATACAAACATGGGACATTGTTGGAGCCCATATATGTGTGTATGTGTTATGTGTTAAGTTACTGTAATTTTTTTTATGTTCTTCTATGTAATTACAAGTCAATGAAAATAAAATATATTTTTGGGGATACAATCACAGGGAAATAAAATCACATGAGAACTGTGTTGATGCATGGTCTGGTCATTACTGTTATTTCCTTTAATGTTATCAGGAAGCATGGTAGAATTAGGTCTAAGAGAATGGTTTGTTTTTGCAGAAGCAGTGATGCCATACAGATGGCTTTTTGAGAAAGACCACAGCATGCCTCTGTTTCCTGTTTGACTTCCCTACTGCGTGCATACCAGGCGCCTCGCTCTGCTACTCACAACTCACAGACGGATACACTTACCTAGCAGAAAGATACTGTATGCTCCCTCACATAATTTACAATCTGATTATGACTCCCTGAACCCAGATAACAGCCAGAGAAAGTGTCTTATTCTGGAAACGACGGCTTCGATTGTAATATCTATATTAGCCTGCTCACTGTTTTACTAATAAACACTCAGGTAGATAGAAATCACTTCTGAATACATGTATTCTGTATGAATGTATCCATAGAACTGTGTGTATTGAGAAGCCTTTGAACACCTAATAATCCATTTGATTTAACGTCAGAAAAACCAAGAGGGAACAATAGCACTAGGGTCAGATTGAAAATGTACTACTGGGGCTTCTTCAATTCAATTAACCAATACAACTTGATTTATCCTCTCACTGACAATTCTGAGCCAGGCCCTGTGCTCTGCTAGTGCAAGAAGTGGAGGAGGAGAGGAGGAAGTGGAGGAGGAGGAGGAGGAGGAGCAGGGGAGGAGGAGGAGGAGGAGGAGGAGGAGGAGGAGGAGGAAGAGGAAGAGGAAGAGGAGGAGAGGAGTACAGGCTGAATGGACAGACTCACCTTGTTCTTCTTGGTACTCATTTTGCTCTTGAGGTAACTGAAAGTGCGGCTGACCTTGGTCCCTTGTCTCCCCTCAGTGTAGTTCTGCAGGGGACCCGGGTCCTCCTCAGAGATGCTGAACCAGACAAGGAAAAATGCACTGAACATACGGCCATTTACACTTGTCCTGCTGGAGAAATAGCAATCAGAGTACACATTGTAAGAACAGCCCCATTGAAAAGAAAGTCTCTGTCGTACCTGTACTCTAGTGACCCAGAAGTACTGGAAAAGGATCCCATTCCTACAGTAGAAATAGAGAGAGGAGGTGATGAGCTGGACCAATGGAACAGCAGATTGTGTGATATATGGTTCTAAATGGATATACAATACGAGCAATGGAAGCATGTTGAAATAACAGAGATTACAGACTGGAATTCCTCTGTATAAAATCATAGACTAACAGTATTTAACCATGAAACAGGCCTGTCATACTTTTATCAGTATTGTGGTTCAGTACAAGTGTAAATGACATACTACATATTCATTACAAGACATTTCCAAGCAGAGGTGATATCACATAACACGGTTGTACCAACATCCAACTGAACCAGTGGGTACCTGGTAGGACAGGTTACATGTGGAATTGCACACTGGGTAATATGGTTAAGGACATATCCAATTAACATCAAGACCCATAAAATACATACACTAAGGAATGTGAACATAAGGCAGCATATAGTTCCAGTAGTAGTCAAGGGCAGCCAGTAATAAAGAGAGTTACTAGGGGCCAAACACAGTCCTCCAGCAAAGCTCAATAAGACACACATCACATGATAAACACAGAGACATTTTCAAAAACTGCCATGCAAAATCTCTTACAGCTCTTAAGCTGTAGATCTGAAACGCTATAGCAGCGAAAGCCCTTTGAAACGTCATCCCCCAGTAACGGCCCGGCCAGGGATTTTCTTCCTATCGTTCGCTCCCAAATAATATACAAGCCGTTCTTACGAGGCTCAAAGGAGTGTGAAAGCAGCAGTGAAATTTCCTAAAGGAAACTCAATCCTTTTTAGCAGCTGTGAAGCCCAAAAGGAACACTTTGAAATGTGTTTATGTGGATTTCAAATAATGGAGGCTAGGGGGAATAAATAGAAGTGATGGAAAGAAAAAGGAGAAGAAATGTGTGGAAAAATCACAGGAGGGACATAATATGCATGGCAGCCATGTCAAATACAATAGGAAAAGGGCTACTTTGGACCTGGGGAAATCTGTGCTAGGAGAAAGCTGGGTTCATGGGCATCTCGTGCAGATATTCAATAAGGGCAGAATGGATAATGATGATGATTCCAGATGGCTGACTGGACTGCAGAGGGCTTTTTACTCTGAAGCTGCAGAATTCATTCTTATAAAAGATCTCATTGAGTCTGCTGCTGTTGCTAGGTTTTCAGCAATGTACAAATCGTTCACAAATACATCGCACTTAAAAGGACAAAAGAGTCAATCTTGTCCTTGACTGTTTCATGAACATTTAAGAAATATGTGAACATCTTGGCAGATTTGTATTTTATTTTCAATTTGACTGAAATTAAAAAACGTGGACATGGTTTGGCATACGGTAATCCTTTCATACTTCTTCAGTCCTTGTCATGGTAACCAAGGTTTTCAGAACTAAGCTGAGGTGATGAAGCCATAGTCAGAAAATCACATGCGTCTGTATAGAGCATAATAACTCAACAGACACAAATAATGCACTGGTCACTCGCCCAATTTACAAGACCTAATAATCTATGTGGGAGCAATTGCCTTACTCTTTCCATAAACACTTTGCTTGACTTTTCACTAGGTAGACATGAATATCATTACCAGTCTATCTGATCACCTGTTCAGTTTTGTTTTGGTGACTGCAGATGAAAACCTTGTTTGAAAACAAAGATATGTACTTGTTGAATTTCTCTCAAACCAAATGACTTGTCTACAACTTCCGAGACATTGATCCTGTTAAGGGGAGGGGACCAAACAGAGATTAGGGTTTGATTTAGAGTTTAGAGGGATGTGACGTCCGTTTAGTGACATGGGCAGACGTAGAGGCACACTACACAGGAAGCAGCCAGGGGCTAGGTGGGCACTCAGGGTATTCTGGGAGCTGTACAGTACTTACTCACAACCTCCTCCTCATCACTGGAGGAAGAGCCAATAGAAAATAATGTTCTAGATTTGGGGATGCTGAAGGAGAAGGAGATGTGTCTCTTTGGTCGAGTCCGTCCGTTTGCTATCCAGTTCAAGGGTACAAAAGACATCAAATCACGTGTTAAATGAGCACAAGAACCTGGGCCGAACTGCATTGCCTTCCAAGTGATCAAGTGAACCCTACACAGACTCGACCTCATTCCCTTCCAAGTGATCGAATGAGTGAACCCCACACAAAGGGACAGGGAAAGCAGAGAAGGGAGAAATCAGCACCCCAGTGATAGTGACGAGAATCTGTAACAGTAGGCCCTGTTAGCCCCAGAGGAGATTGGGATTGAGAGAGTGAACTAACCACCTGATTGGATTCTGTTCCTGTCAACTGTCTGGAAAATACATAGCAGAGGTAAAGAGAGAAAATTGACCTGAAGGATGAGGTTGGAAACAGTAGGTGACAGGAGACTTGATTGTTGGATAGATAGAGGCCTGGCCTTTTGTACCACCATGCCACCACAGAGAGAGAGAGAGAGTGAGAGCGAAGGCTATAGAGCAGTGGGGTGTCAAACTCATTCCATGGAGGGCAGAGTGTCTGCAGGTTTTAGTTTTTCCCTTTCCTGCAGTCAAATGACCAAATCGCCCTCCAGTGGCCTCATGGGTGGAATCTTATTAATATTTTTCACTATTTCTTAATTAATAAACATTCTTTCAAAAAACCTGCTGAAAATCCAGTGTTTCTATGGCAAAAGGTTTTGTTATATTTCAGTCTTCTGTGATGTATATAAAGTGTTTCTTCTTTTTAAGCCCATAACCATGTGTGTGAGGTGTATACTTTTGTTCCAAAGTATATTTGTTTAAGACTACCAAGAAATACTCAGTGTGACCCTGATTTAGCCCACTTGCAGTAAAAGGTTAAGACCTAGACAACCAGGTGAGGGGAGTTCCTTACTAATTAGCGGCCTTAATTCAACAATCAAGTACAAGGGTGGAGCGAAAACCCGCAGACACTCGGCCCTCTGTGGAATGAGTTTGACACGTGTGGTGTAGAGGGGAACCCAGAGAGAGTGTCAAAGTGTTAGGGTGAGCCCCACCATCCAGGTCTCTGTGACTGATGGCCAGCATGGACACTGACTTGGTGAGCACTTGGTGAGGCATGGGGGGACGTCTCACAGGCAGAACTCTCCCTGATTTCTGAAATAGAGGATAGAGAAAGATCAGTGATCTAGATGTCTGAGATAAAATAAAACATGAATCACTCAACTACTGTGCATACAGAGAGCCACTCTACATGGGAAGTTACACATTTACAAAGTTACAAAGTTACAAAAACACAGGACCCCAATGGTAAAGATAAGCCTGGACATGTACCTGGCTGTCGAGGCTGCTGCAGTCCCCCAGGTCTGATTCCTGCTCCTCTGTCAGGGACAGAAGCGAGCCTCTCTCCTCACTGTCTAGACGTGTCACACGAGCAGCGGTCCCCACATTGGCGGAAGCCTTCCCAGCATCCTCCTCTCCAGCCAGGCCCTCCAAACTGTAACTGCAGCCACAACACAACAAAACTGTGTGAGTTACTGAAAGTATTTAGTTTAAGGACAGTAGATACTAACATCCTGAGAGGTCTTTAAACCACAGGCAAGCAGTGAACACACCCAGCAGATCTTCATGCTCCAGGCAGTTATTTAAAAACTGAAACCACACAAGTGTAGCGTACAAGTACATGCACATATTCACACTTAACTAACATCCCTGCAGTACAGCAGTGAGGTGATTTTTATTTTATTTATTTATTTATTTATTAACCTTTATTTAACTAGGCAAGTCAGTTTAGAACAAATTCTTATTTACAATGAAAGGAAGGAAAGCATGTATAGCCAAAGGGGAATATATGAACACCAGCACAAACAGGAAGGAACACATACATGCAAACCTAAATATAATGTAAACAGGAAATAACTGAAGTATAATAAATATTTTTCCCCCCAAGCTTCGATTTCAGGTTAGCAACCTTTAATTTAGTTAATTTAAAAAGTGTAGCTAAATTATTACTATTATTATACAAAAAAATTGTACTTTTTACCGCTTTTTCTCCCCAATTTCGTGATATCCAATTGGTAGTTACAGTCTTGTCCCATCGCTGCAACTCCCGTACGGACTTGGGAGAGGCGAAGGTCGAGAGCCATGCGTCCTCCGAAACACGACCCTGCCAAGCCGCACTGCTTCTTGACACACTGCTCACTTAACCTGGAAGCCAGCCGCAACAATGTGTCAGAGGATACACCGTACAACTGGCGACCGTGTCAGCGTGCATGCGCCCGGCCCGCCACAGGAGTCACTAGAGCGCGATGGGACAAGGACATCCCTGCCAGCCAAACCCTCCCCTAACCCGGACGACGCTGGGCCAATTGTGCGCCGCCTCATGGGTCTCCCGGTCGCGACCAGCTGCGACACAGCACGGGATCGAACCCGGATCTGTAGTGACGCCTCAAGCATTGCGATGCAGTGCCTTAGACGCTGCGCCACTCGGCCAAGTGTAGCAAATGTAAAACAACAGAACAATTCATGTTAAATAATAGCCATCAAATAACACACTTGAGATCATAAGAATAAGAAATCAGCATTCAGTATTGGTGTACAAAACACCTATCACCTCGTTCCCAGCTGTGTGTTGATTGATCCTCTCACTGAAGCTGCCAAGCGAGACTAACTGAACTAAAACCATAACTCACATGTATGGCTCACTGATGATGATGCTTATATTGGTAATGTTAAGCTTTGCAGTAGTTAACCAGCAGTGTAGCAGTATAATACGATTGTTCTAAAGATGCTTGATGCTTTCCCTCTAAATTCTAGCTTACTTGTCTCTGAGAGAGAAAGAGAGAGAGAGAGAGAGGCAGACAGAAGAAAAGTGCATCCTGAGGTCGACAACAACTGACCAACGAGGTGACAGAGACAAAGAGACAGCAGTGACAGCAGCAGTGACAAAGCACCCACCAAGCCAGATACAGCACATCATGCACAGAGCACAGAACATGCAGGGGCTCCTCTCACTTTTTTATTTCTCATCTTGTTAATCATCCTATACTGTAACTGCATTCTTTCCATCTCTATTTATCACCCTAGGGAGATAGTTCACACTCGGTGATTGCATACCTTCTGCTATCAATCTGTTCCGGGTGAGGAGGGGGGATGTTGGAGGGACACCAGCTCATACTGACAGGGAGAAGGATGGACAGGGACAGGAGGAGAGATGGGCGGACAAAGGGAGGAGAAACAGGGAGATGTTATTTCAGGGTGAGGTGTGATGGTCAAAGGTAAAAGTGGTGGGTTAATGATTAGGCCCATAGCCATGTGTGTGAGGTGTATACTTTTGTTTCAAAGTAGATTTGTTTAAGACTACCAAGAAACACTGTGTGACCCTGATTTAGCTCACTGCAGTAAAAGGTAGGCTTTTTTTCCCATTGGAGTGGTTTGATGAAGTATTATATTGGAGGAAAAAACGATGTTCTTGGTTTCCACACTCTCCAGAAAGAATTTGAGAGTATTCTCATACTGTTTTAGTAATGACTTTTCCATAGCATATGTGCGATAGAGGTAAAAGTATGTTTAGCATTTTCTTCCCGTAATTGCAACACACCAGGGAGAGTCAGAATGGAAACATTGAGAAATAACTGTGTGGTACCTTCTCCTATGAAATGTTGGCTTTCGAGGCTTCCCTTCCCCTTGACTTCGCAATGAACTGAGAAGAGATGGATGGAGAGATGATCAGAAGACAGGAAAGGAGGGATGGACAGAGAGAGATGGGAGCACTGACAGTACAATACATGATCAAATGGGTGATAATGAATAAGAAGGAATTGGTGGCACTAGAAACAAAGGCTATTCAAGGCGGGCCTCTGGATATGTCTTGCAGACTGAAACATTGAGCAGAATGAGTGATGATGTCAGAGGAGTGATGGTACACTACTTCTCACACAGCTGTTTAAAGAAGTCAGAGGTCAGTGTTTAAACTTTGACCTGGACAAGGCCTTTCCCACAAAGTCCACTTACACAGAGGAGCCTCCAGGCTGACTGACTGTACTGTATACAGGCCCTCTGAGGGACAAGCACGGATCACAAAGACATAAACATCAACACACACACACACACACGAGGCCGTATGAGCACCACTCCTCTGGGAGACAGTCTCTGTCCTAGTCTCATCCCTGCACACTGTACTTCCCAGGCTACTAGTGTCTCCACAATAGATATCATCATACTGAGGACAAGTCAGAATACTGTACGAGTTGGCGGCATATGGTTCACACAGATGACTTTTTACCATCCATCCATAGCTATCCTTCCCGGGGAGTACTGTAGGTTTATGTGAGTGTGTGTGGGGTACATGTAAGAGGTCAGTGTTTGGGGTTAGAGGTCAGTGTTTGGGGTTAGAGGTCAGTGTCTGGGTTTAAGAGCACTCACCTGCGTTGGTTCATATCCGTTTCTCCTTCAGGATTCTTCCCCGGGCCCCAGCTGTGCCGGCGGAACGGAGAGAGCGAGCGGATACATGGGCGCATGATGGAGGAGCATACAGGCCCCTCTGTCAGCTTGTCTTTCCTCTCCTCCTCCTCTCCTCCCTTCCCTGTCGTCTGCCAGGTGTCTCCAGAGCTCCAGCTGGCCCTGGTTCGCACCGCCCCCGCCCCGGCCCAAGGAGGGCCCATGCTGCCCTGGGAGGAGACACTAAGGGGACCTACACTGCCATGGGAGCTGGCGCTGAGGGGACCCACAATGGCCACGTCGTCTATGGAGGAGAAGGACACTGACACCCCGCTGGTGCTATCCCTTGGCCTATCCACAGCCTGGGGACAGAGAGGACCCAGAGAGACCCTGTTAACCACCGGAGTCAAAGTCAACACAACTCAACTCAAAGGCATTATATTAGGGTGCAAAAAAGAGGGAGCGCTGCTTTGACATCAAGTATAAAGACAAAGAGGTGCTCATCTGAGAATGGGGTATAACTTATAGCAACCAAATGAAGTTGCAGCTGTGTAAAAACATCATACTTCAAAAGAATCCAAGGCACCTTTATTTTAGCGGCTATTTCATAGCAAAAATAAAATGCACCAACATGTTGCGGCTCACAGGCCTTCTTCAGGGTACACAATATATTATATATTAGGGTTTGGAAAGTCTGTAGGTGACTTTTTGCTGGAACAGACTTATTTTAGCTGGAATTGCACATTACACCTAATCTAACACGTATGGTAAGCATGATGCCAAATGTGTCCCTAAATGTCAAAACAAAAATGTCCTGTCCCATTGTCTCCCAGGCTGTTTCTCACACTTGCCAGGCCTGTGAGGTTAGGCCTGATGATGACTGGTCTGAGCTGCCATTAGTCTGAGCTTCCTGCAGGCTTCAGTCTGGTGAGAGGAAAAGGACAAGGCAGGGAGAGATCGTTTTTTCCAGCCCTATAAAGGTTACATAACAACTGAAACACACACCCTTTAGGGAGGCAGGCAGGCAGGCTGCAGATGATGATTTCCATTGGGAGTGTATCATTAATTTTCACATTCTCCAGCAGTGCCAGCGCTGGGCGGGCGGGTGTTGGGCTAACGGTCGGCCGCAGTGGCTCGGAGCATAATAACCATACAGGCCTCTTTATGAGGAGAAGGCCATGGAAAATCAGCTTCCAGAACAAATGACTCAGCCTGCCTGAGATCACGCAGCAGGGAAGCAGTCAACCAGCTAACGCTCTCTACACACCTACACTACTCACACGCAGTGACGAAGTCACGCACACACACAAACACACATTTCGAAAATTTGCTCTAGAGAAAATTGGATTTGGAATAGGATCGTTTAAAAAAGGGCCTTTGAGGAATGAAAAGAGTCGTTTAATTGAGTCATGTAACTCAGGTCCTTTTTTGGTCACTGCCTGCCTGTCTCTGTCCAAAGTGCTGAGGTCACCCGAAGTTTCAAAACCTGTTGCGTAATGACAGACCTCAAGACGGGATGCGGAGGGGCTAGAGTTGTGTAGCTTCTCAAGAAGAAAACATTTCTTAACCTTTCTTACGTTTGACTGATTAACTTACAATTTTTTTTAAACATAAAAATACAAAAACATAGCCTAATGAAATTAAAAATGTAACCTACAGAGTGAGTTGAAGTTACAGTATGCATGTGTGGGTGAGTGCTAAGGAGATGCCTGGAGAGGAAAGGACCTCATGAGGGCAGAGAAACCAAAGCTGTTGAAACCAAAGAAACGAGGTCCAAGGCTGTAGTGGAAAAACAGCTTTGGAGTGCCGTTATGACTCCACCGCCCTGCACTGTGTGTACACTTTGAAAGAAGGGTGGGGGACAGGGCAGGGGAGGAAGGGCGGTAAAAGAGTAAGCAAGGGGGATGAGGTCATAATGGGTTTGCTGGCCCAGGAATGAGTGTTCATGGGAGCCTGCTTATGTCACATGGTAGAGGAAGATAACCAGTCTGCTGTGGTCTGAAGGTACATTAACAAACAGAAAAGACTCATAATACAGTGCATTCAGAAAGTATTCAGACCCCTTGACTTTTTCCACATTTTGTTACGTTACAGCCTTATTCTAAAATGGATGAAATTATTTTTTTTCTCATCAATCTACACACAATACCCCATAATGACAAAGCAAAAACAGGTTTATCAAAATGTATTAACAATAAAAACTGAAACATCACATTTACATAAGTATTCAGACCCTTTACTCAGTACTTTGTTGAAGCACCTTTGGCAGCGATTACAGCCTACAGTCTTCTTGGGTATGACGCTACAAGCTTGGCACACCTGTATTTGGGGAGTTTCTCTCCCATTCTTCTCTGCAGATCCTCTCAAGCTCTGTCAGGTTGGATGGGGAGCGTCGCTGCACAGCTATTTTCAGGTGTCTCCAGAGATGTTCGATCGGGTTCAAGTCCAGGCTCTGGCTGGGCCACTCAAGGACATTCAGAGACTTGTCCCGAAGCCACTCCTGCGTTGTCTTGGCTGTGTGCTTAGGGTCATTGTCCTGCTGGAAGGTGAACCTTTGCCCCAGTCTGAGGTCCTGAGCACTCTGGAGCAGGTTTTCATCAAAGATCTCTCTGTACTTTGCTCCATTCATCTCTCCCAGTCCCTGCCGCTGAAAAATATCCCCACAGCATGATGCTGCCACCACCATGCTTCACCGTAGGGATGGTTCCAGGTTTCCTCCAGACGTGTCGCTTGGCATTCAGGCCAAAGAGTTCAACCTTGGTTTCATCAGACCAGATAATCTTGTTTCTCATGGTCTGAGAGTCTTTAGGTGCCTTTTGGCAAACTCCAAGCGGGCTGTCTTGTGCCTTTTACTGAGGAGCGGCTTCCGTCTGGCCACTCTACCATAAAGGCCTGATTGGTAGAGTGCTGCAGAGATGGTTGTCCTTCTGGAAGGTTCTCCTATCTCCACAGAGGAAGAACTCTGGAGCTCTGTCAGAGTGACCGTCGGGTTCTTGGTCACCTCCCTGACCAAGGCCCTTCTCCCCCGATTTCTCAGTTTGGCCAGGCGGCCAGCTCTAGGAAGGATGTTGGTGGTTCCAAACGTCTTCGATTTAAGAATGATGGACGCCACTGTGATCTTGTGGACCTTCAATGTTGCAGAAATGTTTTGGTACCCTTCCCCAGATCTGTGCCTCGACACAATCCTGTCTCGGAGCTCTACGGACAATTCCTTCGACCTCATGGCTTGGTTTTTGCTCTGACATGCACTGTCAACTGTGGGACCTTATATAGACAGGTGTGTGCCTCTCCAAATCATGTCCAATCAATTGAATTTACCACAGGTGGACTCCAATAAAGTTGTAGAAACTTCTCAAGGATGATCAATGGAAACAGGATGCACCTGAGCTGAGTCTCATAGCAAAGGGTCTGAATACTTATGTAAATAAGGTATTTCAGTATTTTATTTTTTATACATTTGCAAAAAATTCTAAAAACCTTTGTCATTATGGGGCATTGTGTGTAGATTGATGAGGAAAATTAGAATAAGGCTGTAACGTAACAAAATGTGGAATACGTGAGGAGTCTGAATACTTTCCGAATGCACTGTATACTTGCATGCTATCATGTCAAAGCCGATGAAGACACGCCTACTGCTCTTGGTATTGTGACTAAAAGAGAGTGTCTGGGTCCAGTCCAGTGTGCTGTGCTCACCTTTCTGAAGACACTGTCCTCTCCCAGACTGTCCACATCACTGACTGAGTCTTGCAGGGCACCAGTGGTCAACAAAGAACCTCCAACGCTCTCAGAGCACGGGGACACAGGAAATTCTGTGAGAGAGAAAAGGGTTATCAAGATGAGTGGCCCTGCCGTGTTTGTGTGTGTTGGAGTGTCAGTGTGTGTGTGTTGGAGTGTCAGTGTGCGTAAGTGTGTTGAGACAGTGCAAAAATAAATAGTAAACTCAGATAGTAGCCATTTTATTAGCTATTTAGTTAGCTATTTAGCAGTCTTATGGCTTAGGGATAGAAGGAGCCTGTTGGTGTCAGACTTGATGCACTGGTACCACTTGCCGTGTGGAAGCAGAGAGTCTTGAATGATTTTCCGGGCCTTCCTATCACATGATCAGGAAGACAAACGTGCTGCAAAGCAGTTTTGGATTGCTAGTTGCAATCCTCTTGGGCAGGATGTTGATGACGTCAGTTGCAAAAAAAGTATTAGTTATTTATTTATTTATTTTGTCAGGAAGGATGTTATTGTATATGAGTGGGATGTTGTTTTGTCATTGTTTGGCCTAGCAACCAGAACGGTGGGATTGGGAGGGGACAACGATACAGAGATGCTAAGGACAATGCAGTGATATGGATATCTTTTTAAGCTATGATGGCAACTGATCTCTGCACAGATGTGAACACTAGTCTAATTCCTATGACATAAGCTATCTTTTTCAAACTGATCTCTGCACAGATGTGAATACTAACTTCTTCAGACGTCAAAGGTGGTAGGGTTGCACAATATGCACAATATGCTAAGCTAGTCTACGGATAAGAGATACATTGATTGATACTATGGTGACGCATGGTGCAGTAGGGATCGAAATTCAAATTAAAGCAGGTCCATGCCATCCCCATCTTATCTGAATCAATGACCTTACCATTTTAAGCCTCTCTCTACTCTTACAGAGCTCTGCTCTCTTCTCTGCAGTACATATTTAATCCTCTGAAATTAAATTACAACCTGGCCTTTCCAACTGATATCTTCCAGAAATCAAATTATATTCTGGCAAGTGCTCTTCCATGATCCAAGCAAGGACCTCCAGACCCCTGACAACCTTCCTAATCTTAATTTCTGCTCTTCTCTATCTCATATAACCTATATGATAACTGACTGCCTGGCAGAAATAAACTCAGCATTGGCCATGCCATGCCTGGTATTGGTTAATACAAATTCTTCTGACAAGCTGCCTGGAAGACACAGAGTTCTTTTGAATATGAGCTCTGTATGTTAGTGGGTTGTGTGTCACGCCCTCAGCCTCCACTACACTCTTAGAAAAAAAGGCTTCCAAAAGGGTTCTTCTGCTTTTTGGGTTCCATGTAGAATCCTCTGTGGAAAGAGTTCAAATGGAACCCAAAAGGGTTCTACCTGGAACCACAAGGGTTCTACCTGGAGCAGAAAATGGTTCTTCAAAGTGTTCTCCTATGGAGACAGCCGAAAAACTATTTTAGGTTCTAGATAGCACCTTTTTTTCTAATATCTTGACTTACCTGTGGATTCTGTGATGGTGGTCTTCACCTGTAGCGTGGGATCTGTGCAGGACTGGACAGGGTAGAATGTCTCCTTCTCTCTGTGGATCTAGAAACAGAAAGACATTTGGGATCAACAAGACTGAACTTATACAACAGATGTCTTCAGCAATGTAGCGATAAGCATATTTTGTTTTTGAGAGACAAAATGACTACTGAATTTACACCAACCGCAAGTTTTCTAAGTATTTTATATTTTCAAAAACCTAGTATTCTCAACCATGCTGTCTTGGCTGGTTGGTGTTATTGAACAGTCAGACAGATATCCAACAGTATTAGTCTCAGGACATTAATATTGATGGCCTCTACTTTTCCCCTACCACAGAACACAGCTTTGCATAGAAGGAGAAGAAAATACATTCCTGCAGGTAGAGAGAATCTAATTACTTGAATGAAAGACCACAAACAGTGGGACTGTGCCTCGATCTGACAGTCCAGGCACACATCTGGCCTATCCCCTGGGCCCAGGTCTGCTACAGTCAACTTCCAGTAGGCTCTCCCTCTGTGTCTGGAACTGGCTGAGCTCTAGCTGCTGTTCACCATACGTGCTGCTGCTGGGAATTTGGACTGGGAGTCGGAGAGGAATTCTGCGCACATGTAAACATCAGGCCTGATTGACATTCAGCTGACAGCTGCTAGCAGTCTGAGGCTATAGGCCTACCAGGAGTTCAAATAATACAAGGATAAGATTTAAGATCACTTTATTGGTCAATTGCATGAAATCTGACTTCCGTTTTTAACCCAACCCCTCCGAAAGACACACATACATGTTTTGGAGAGGTGCGGGGGGCTGCCACACTGGGCGCCCAGGGAGCTGTTGTTGTGGGGGGTTAAGTGCCTTGCTCAAGGGCACAACAGCAGGCAATGGCATCTAGGTGGACCCAGGATTCAAACTGGCAACCCTCAGGATGCTGGCTCACCTCTCTAACCGCTAGGCTACCTGCCGCCTCATGATCAGTGTTCACTGTTCAGATGGCAGTAAGAACAGAATGGAGGAGGAAGAACACCAACCAACCCTCAGATTCATACAGAGAGAATGAACAGAGAATAACTATTACTTTTTCTAGTAGATGCCCTTATTAAAACCCAAATACATTAGTTGAAGATTCCAAGAGTTACAATATGGTAACTAGAACAACTACACTTCTCTAACTACAACAACTACACGTATCTAACTACAACAACTACACTTCTCTAACTACAACAATTCCACATATCTAACACCAACAACAACACTTCTCTAACTACAACAATTACACTTCTCTAACTAGAACAATTACACTTCTCTAACTACAACAATTACACTTCTCTAACTACAACAATTACACTAGTTCTCTAACTACAACAATTACACTTCTCTAACTACAACAATTACACTACTCCAGGGAGGGGTTTATTGAGAACTTGGCCATGGAGACTTCCATGAGGACAGAGAGGAGATTCATAAAGCTCAGCCTCTGTTCCGCATCATCCATCATCAGCCCCAGACATCACACCCACTGGCAGACCACTCATCATGTGACCAGGTCGCCAACTACAGAGCCAATCCTCCCACGCCTTGTTCATGTACGTGTGTTTGTACTAAGTGTGTGTGTGTGTGTGTGTGTGTGTGTGTGTGTGTGTGTGTGTGTGTGTGCATGCTTGCGTGCGTGTGTGTGTGCATTTGAGTGTGTTTACATGAGTGCATATGCGAATGCACTCATGCATGCAAGTGTGACTGCATGTGTGTGTGCATGCTTGTGTGCATGTGTGTGTGTGTGTGTGTGCATGCGTGTGTGTGTGTTGAGGTGTTTGTGTGTGTATCCAGGACATTCTCCCCTCACCCACACACACACACACACACGGCTGCTGATACAGGGCCTTATTGTTCCGCCCCTGCTCAGAGGGACAGGGTCTCAGTGTCATGACACAGGGGGGTGTGGGCGTCGCCCATCTAACCAGGCCTCTGTGTCTGTCCAATCACACACAGCTGCTGCTGCTCAGAACCAGGCCAGGGGGACAATACGGACACGTGACCTAGAGATACTGTCCTCTCAGACCATGCAATGGCTTTATCACAACACACAACCCATGGTCAGATAGACAGACATGCTTTCATCACTTACAGACGGCCTACAGTCAGATCTTGTATTCTCCTCAACATGCTTTTATCACTTACAGATGACCCACGTCAGGACTTAAGCATGGTTTATCACGAAAACTGAGGACACTTTAAGGCCTTTACCATTATTTTATCACCTATAGATGGCCTTATTGTTGACTAGGCTTGGGAGTGTATATACCGTATACCGGGGTATTTGGAAAAAGCCACGGGATGGTCAATACCGTCAAAACCATTTTGTTTTTAAATACATTTGAATATTTGTAGATTTGTAGCTACTTTTTAAGTTATTCCCTGCAGTCAACTTGTGCAATACTGTAGGTGATGAAGCAGATTGTGTTCTTCATTTCACCTGTCACAAATTATGAAGCTTACCCTAATTCCCCAGTTGAGCCAGACACCTGTTTGTTTGTAAATAGCACAACGGGAGAAAGCAAGCTGGTGAGTCCATAGCGTTCTATATCTATCGGCGAGTCTCTTGTGCAGCGCATATGAGGTGATGAAGTTACACTTGTGCTGTACACAATTCACAACGAAATATTTGCCATCAGATATCAAAGAGCTCTGGATGAGTTATATCTACAGTTGCCATTTTTTCCCCTGTGCTTCCTACTTTTTTTCTCCTCTGTTCTTCTCCCCTCTGCTCCATGTCCTCATGTTGCTATTCCTTCAGAAAAGCATACATCACAACTTTGTTAATTTGCACAATTTCTCTCGTTCTTTCGCTTGTATATGTCCACATTCACCGAAAATTACGTTCGGTAGATACTAGCTACAACTTTATGAGCTGAATTTGCCTGTCTTTGCTATTAGTTTGTGCAAATTTTGTTAACATTCTGGTAATAAAGGCCCAATGGGCTTTTCTTGCATCTTAGCGCCCCCTTGTGTGCTATGCCAGTAATACTGTAAATCCCGGTATGAGACAAGGATGGTATGACAATATGAAAATCTGGATACCGCCCAAGCCTAGTGGTGACCTCACCAGGATCCTATCCACCAGCCATCCAACAAGACTGCATTGACTCAGACTTTTAAGATCCAGGCTGAACAAAAATGACTGGGATCCCATCATCCCAGACACAGCTGAGTTTGTGACAGCCCCCTGGGCCCCTGACTGTGTGCCAGGTCCACATGAAGGTCCACTCTGAGACCGGACCCAGGTCATTGACAAACTGCTGGACGCATAGCTGAATTCCATACTGATCCCATGTTGTGTAAGTAATCACTGCTGATGTTAATGTAACTAGCAGACTCTGGCTTGACAGGACACACAACCTGATCTACAGTCAGTCAAATCACATCTAGACTAAATCTCCTTCTGAAGACCTCGACTCTGAATCCCTGAACTCAACCATACACACAGAGCCACAGTAATCAAGAGATATGCAATACAGAACACATAAACCTCAGAGGTAGGTCAGTATTTCTTTGCTCTGAAGGCTCAAACAGACACTATACAGTACATTCTCAAAAAGGGCAGACTTGTAGGTTACGGGGTCAAAAATGATGAAGTATAAAATTCTGGACTTCCAGAGAAGAGTTCACTGTCTATTTGATTTCCACCACCAAGAAAAGAAAGCTCAAGAAGGTTGGGATCTTTTTGTCATAGTGGAAATATATCAGTCAGTTATCTGTCTGGACTAAACGTTTTAGCAGACAGACAGACAGTGCTTAAGGGCCGGAGAATGAAACAGACAGTACAATGGAACTATTAAGAAACACTGAACAAAGGATCCATTGGTTACTAAGATTTATGGCCTAACAATTAACTTATGGAGTCATTCCACTGCTTTCTTGAGCAATAAAGACAAGTGCACTGACGTTCATCAATAGTGACAACTGACTTGATGACAGAACTAATTGAGTCTTGTAAAGGTTAATTATATTTAAAGGCATTAAACTCAATAAAGTCCATATAAATTTTAGTTATGTGTACGCAAGAGAGAGCGAGAGAGAAGGAGTGGGAGAGAGAACAAAGTCTATGTGTACTCTCCTCTGTAGTGGGAATGTGAAAACATGTGGATTTCCCCAGGCTTGTGGTTAATTGTCTTTCCCCCACTAGTAGGATGTGGGGGCGGGGGGTTATTTACCAGGGTTCTGTACAGTCTTAAAGTGGCTAGTGGACAATGCACAAGGCCTCATTGATGGGCCTGCCTACAGCCCAGTGCAGCACTGAGCAGCCTCTGTATGCCCTGCAGCGCTGGGCGGAGGGGGAACACTGCACTCTTATCCTCCAGAAGCCCAGGGTCCAGGCCCCCCAGCAGACACACACATGTAACATACAATATAGAACACGTGAGACATGCACACACAGTTCATATGCAGGTACAGACACATTTCCGTTCTTATCCAATAATGGGTAATATTTTGTTTTTGTTCTAATCTATTTTATTCCATTCTAAAATTGTCACTGATAAAATGTAGATGAGTGCATGCATTTCTACAGTATACCAGTCTCCTGCCCTGTCTGGGAAAAGAAGATGATTAGCTAAAAATGGATACACGTGGGTGGAGAAGGAAGCTCAATGTTCAGAAGTGTCCCTGGTGAAAATAAACCCAATATAGCGAATGGCATACTTCAGACTTGCACTTTCCACAGTGACAGCCAATGTCTGGCATGACTCAGAGGCACAGCATGGGAGAGGAATGTCCTTGGAGAGAGCTACATTTAAGTGCTTTGTTACAGTACTTACAGTGCAGACAGAAACAAGAACACTGCCAAGCTTAGTTTAGGCCCAAACAATCAATACATGCCCTTGGAATAGATGGAGTTATTCTGAAGCAGAGACGTAGTTAACAGAGCTTGAGAAAAACATTTCAGACATGTTTTCTCCCAGGAGTTGGACTAGAGAGACGCTTTACCCTGGTCTATCCATCACCAAGTTCACTCAGCCCTCCTCGCCCTTCAGGGAACACAACACACATGACCGCACCACACCAAAGGACTTCACAGGACCGTTTCTCACAGCCTGAGAGGGAGGACCAAGGCTAAGGAAGGGAAGATTTGATCTGACCACCATAATTAATCTTGCAATAGGGCCATCTAATATGGACCATCTTGTCTCTTCCCTTTGAAATATATCAAACCTGTGCATAATGACATCCTTTAGAAAGAAGTATCTCTTAAGCAGTTGGAACTCTCTTCCCTTCTGTATTGAAGCCATCCGAATCTAGTCCAGCCTGATCACTATCCAAAACTAGTCTGGCCTGGGTTCTGACACCGAGAGATGATGGAGAGCAGAGTGGAGAGGTCCCAGTTCCCATGCCCAAAGATAGAGCCTGACGCCTGGCCCCAGAGATGCAGCCTGGCCTCTTATCACAAACCTCAAATCCACAGGCCACTCTACTCTGTCCAAGTGCTCCAACATGCTCTGCTCTGCTGCTTTGGCCTGGCCTCTCTCAGATACAGATACAGTGCCTTTCCTTACCCCTACATATATATTCACCAACCAAGAGCCCACATGCCACATTCCACTGGAATCCCACTGCTGGTCCCAGTCCCACCCAGCTATAGTAGAGAGAGATGCTCAAAGTGGTGGTGATGATTAAGAGATGCTGAAAATATGACTTAACTCCGAGTGGTTTGGTGGAGCAGTGATTTGTCATGTCACTGAAACACCTCCATTGTATTTTCCTGAAAGCATCACCATGCCATTGTGTTTCATAGAAAACAAATTCAGGGTTTCCTGAGTTATGAGCTTGTAGCTGTGTGTGTCTATGGAAAAACAGGATCTATTCGAATTAATCTGTTGAGCTAAATGGGGCAGGTTTTGACATGATATTTGAGGAAAAATCTATCAGAATCAGGTATGGTCCTGCTAATAGACAACATTTAAAGACAGAATACAGACAGAGGAATTTACACAAAGTTTACATAAATTATATACAATCCCGACACACACAGACAACAGAATATGCATCACATTCAGAATCCTAGCATTGTATTCAGTGACTCACACTTTGCACACAGACGAAGTACCATCCAAAGTAAACAGGGGGAGAAAGAGTTTGAGAGGGAGAGGGAGCGAGAGGAGAGAGAAAAAGAAAGAGAGAGAGAGAAAGAGGGAGAGAGAGAGGAAATGAGAGAGAGAGAAAGAAAGAGAAATAGAGAGAGAAAGAGGGAGAGAGAGAGAGGAAATGAGAGAGAGAAAGAAAGAGAGAGAGAGAGAGAGACAGAGAGAGAGAGAGTATGGACATATTCCTGGGATCTGGCCTGAAGGCCTTCATTCTCCATCCAAAAACAAACTCCACCCTGAGAGCACACTCCTCAAGGCTGTCAGTGAGCCCATCTACTAACGGCTCACAAACGCTCCACACCTCCTGAGCACACACTGAGGAACGGCTAACAATTAGACACATCCGGACAAATACAAATACACACAAAGAGACTAAATTACTCTCCCGTGACATGAAATGTGACAGTCATCTTCACAGCGTAGATATGAAATCTAATTTGTTACCACACGCATACAGCAGAGAAGGCAAGCTACATCAAAACACGTCATGAAATTTGTTAAGAAAACCTACAGACAGTTTTTTCCCATTACCATATCCATAGGCGAAGAGCGCTCTCTCACATGTGGCAATTAAAAAGATTCTCTGTCCATTCATACCTTTATCAAAACGACATCCACTGTTCTCTCCCCCTTTCCACGCAGACTATACCTCCGCTTGTGTCGCTCGTACATCTTTTCAAGCAGTGAAAAGTAGTGGTTATTAACAGAAAGGCGCTAGATTCCAACATGAAGCCCAGGCTTGTGGAGTCCTTTGTGAAGTTTGGGGAAAATTAGCAACTGTTCCCACATCTGCTCACAGAACCAGCCCCTCAGTCTGATCCTCCCTCCTTTTCCTTCTCCCTCTCACACACTCCTCCCTCCTCTTCTCTCTTTCACTCTGTTACTCGCTGAGCCTCTCCCTCTTTCCCTCCTCTCTTTCACTGCTGTTTTCTCTCTTCTTTCTTCTATTCATCTCATTCCATTTTCTGTTCAATTTTAACTCCTCTTATCTTCTCTTCTATCTCCATCTATTTCCTCTTCCCCTGTTTCTCTGGGTGGTGACGAGTTGAACAGTTGTACCCAGTGTGTGCTGTGATGCTGAGCGGCAGGGAGAGAGTGTCTACGGAAACAGGCTGATAAGGCAGCCAGCCATGAGAGAAGCCACTGTGATGCATGCCCTGCATACTGGCTGGCTCCAGGAGAGGGATGCTCTCCTATACACTGTGATTCCTGGGCAGTGAGGAAAGATAAGCCTTGTCCTAGGGGAAGCTATCACTAGAGACATAATCAACTACTGTTGCTTGTCCCCTAGGTTTGATTTAATAACACTACTAATAAGGAGAATACTTTTATGAATTAAAAACATACATCCTATATCTTTACATAAGGGATTTAAATAGAAACATGGTCATCATTATCAAAAACATCCCAAGCTTATCACTTAAAATTCTAATCTCAATGCGTGTAACATGTCCTCAAACCCTGGGTACAGAAGCAGAGGAGAATGCAGAAGGGTCCTCTGTGTGAAACACTTGAGCAGGAAAAAACTCCACATCTGCAGACAGTCATCAATGGAACGGACAAACAGTTGGAACCATGGCAACCATTACAAACTGTCCACATGACGCACACACACAGAGAGAAAGCGGGAGAGAGAGAAAGCGGGAGAGAGAGAGAGAGAGAGAGAGAGAGAGAGAGAGAGAGAGAGAGAGAGAGAGAGAGAGAGAGAGAGAGAGAGAGAGAGAGAGAGAGAGAGGGCTGGGGCTCCTTCAGTCCTAACACGTCTGGGCAGCTGAGTGGAACGCAACACAACCCCTGGAAACAAGAGCAACTTGCCCCAATTCCTACTACTCCCCAGGGCACACGGCTTGTAACATTATGAGAGGAAAATAAAAGAACAGACCCAAATACATTATGTGCTAATCTTGTTTAGGGGACTTTTCTAGAATGGTGATTCTCATTGGTTAAAACCACTATGGAGAAGGGAGGGAATTTGATCAACACTTCCATACACTTCCATATTTCCTCCAGCCTCTCTTTGTGCTAACAAAGGACTGGCTTCTATTCTCATACTCTACTACCACTGTGCATACCACAACAAACTCTCAACACATGTCTACAGTAAATAACAACCTATTCCAAACAGTTAAGAATGCAGAATTCACTTCAAAGTCTCTGAAAGCAACCTAAAACATGGTTGTATGGAAAAATGTCAATAAGCGTATCATTTTCCATGCTGCCTGCTCAGCAAACAGAATGGTGTGGGTGCAGCATGTGAGCTACTCCACTGAGAGAAGGATCAATCGACATAAAAGGCTGTGGGTCAGGGTGAGTTGAGAGAGGTGGTGGTGGGGGAGGGGAGGGGGAGCACCGTGAAGGGCCCTTTGTAAGGCCCTGATGCATACAAACACAGAGGGTCTGAGACTGGGGCTCTGCTGTGTACATGGCACCTATGGAGCTCTGGGCTTAGGACCTTATCTGGTATAGGACTGTAGTCAATAGGACCTAGGTAGAGAGAGATAGGAACAAACTGCACAGTTGTGTCTGTCCTCATATCCTGCTGTACAACTACAGAGGAAGAGGAAGAGAAACCAGAGAGAAGGATGAATGGGAAAGAAGAGGGACGTGTGTAAAGACTTAGTTAAATGACTGACATTCCCCTCCTCTCTCTCACACACAGACAGACAGCTAGACCCACCCTAGTCAGGTTCAGTGAGCGATGAACAGGCTCAACGTGTTTGTCCAGCTCCACTGATGAATCTCACTGAAGAATTCACCACCGCTAGCTACCCCCTGCTTCCCCCAAACCAAACAATATGGAGGAAAATATCATTCCTTTTATGCACTGAGCAGCCTCAGGACTTACTAAGTCCTACAGTGTCCTGGCAGCCCATTCCACTGCAGTAGGGAACAGTGCCAGATTTACAACAGTCTCATCATGCTATGTTTGGTAACCTGTGAAAACTAAAAAATCATAAACCATCACAATTCCTGACTAGAATGCAGGCTGTCAAGCACACCTCTGCAAGACAGGCAATATATTACTGAACCAAACTTTCTGGCGAAAATATATGTTTAAATATAATCTGTATTTTTTTTGTTAACTGTCTGAAATGCAGCTGAGAGCAGACCAAGTACACATCGGGAGGTAGTTATACCAGAACACAACACTAGGGGGTGCCTGAGGACACACAGGGCTGGCAGGAACATTCATTATGGTTTTGGCAGGCAGCAGCAGCACAGTCTGTCTGTCTTTCAGGACTTCCTCCTTTCCTGGCTGCTCTCCGCAAATGTGCCTCCACAGTACTCACAGTTCTGTTTTACGAAGATTACTCAACTGTACCTCACACAAACTCATTGACACTAAAAGCTGTGTTGCATCATACAAAACAATTAACCAAACATTCTGCATCACATTTTATAGCAATGTAATGTCGATACTAATTCTGAACTGTAGTGCTCTACGTTGTTTTTCTATCATTCTTTGTATACATTCTCCATTTATCGTTGAAAACTTTGGCCATGAAACACGTACAAACAGATCTCTGGTGCCGAGTCTGTCGACCAAAATGCGGCTCCAGTTGATGTTAGACTGCCTTCTGTTGGTGACTAACGTTAGCATCAAATTATTATTCCATTCAGCTCCTCCAGTCTGTAACAGCTAACAGGTTGTCTCTCTGACAGGTTGTCATAATCAGTGAGGCGGACACCAATGACATGATTCCATCAACAGAACAACGAGGAACACTGCTGGAGCAAACTGAATTAGACTGAAAGAATCTGAGAAATGGCATCTGCTTTCACTCTCACTGGCTGGCACTGGCAGATATTTGCTTCAGGTGGAAGGGCACTGAGCAGAGCAGGCCTCGGCATGGAGATTAAACAGCTGCTAATAGGAAGACATGAATGAGTCCTGCACTGCACCCAATGTTCAGCTGTCTCATAGTCAGTTACTGTATACATCATGATGTCTACAAACAGTGTTTCTATTTTCTAACTGACATTAGAAATCAGATGTACTCTGATCCTCATACTAAGCTATAACGCCTTTGTTTTACCCACAGCATTGGTTTCATCCAGTATGACTCTGATAAATATTCAGAGAGCACACTACTTTTCTTCCTAATTCTCTAACTGAAACTAGATTCAGTATGTTGAAAAATAACTTCATAAAAAAGTTTTGAACATTCTTCTCCTCTGAGACGATGTGGTTTCCATGCCACAGGCTTCTGGCTGGCTGGCTGGCTGGCTGGCTGGCTGGCTGGCTGTCTGGCTGGCTGGCTGGCTGGCTGGCTGTTGTGTTTTATCTGGTGAACTTCTTAAAAGACAGAGTTCTCCAGAGTTACAGTGTAATTCCTCTCAAAGGCTAACAATGAAATGCGGAGAGATTCTGGCCAAGAGAGAGAGCTGTGATAGTGGCCCTGTCTACAAGTCTACATGTCTACCTGTCTACATGTCTACCTGTCTACATGTCTACATGTCTACCTGTCTACATGTCTACATGTCTACCTGTCTACATGTCTACATGTCTACATGTCTACCTGTCTACATGTCTACATGTCTACATGTCTACATGTCTACATGTCTACATGTCTACCTGTCTACCTGTCTACATGTCTACATGTCTACCTGTCTACATGTCTACATGTCTACATGTCTACCTGTCTACATGTCTACATGTCTACATGTCTACATGTCTACCTGTCTACATGTCTACCTGTCTACATGTCTACATGTCTACATGTCTACCTGTCTACATGTCTACCTGTCTACATGTCTACATGTCTACATGTCACTCTCCAGATAAGCATAGCAGCACAGCTTAGCCACATTCACAAGAGGGGGGCGAAATGCAGAACTAATCACAGCTAAACACTACACCAATCCTTCTTGCATAAAGACAATTATCATACCAGAAGAAAGTTGCCTGTAGAGTTTACGCTAAACAACGACATTGACAAGATCACTGTGAGATTGCGGTGTGATTGCGACAGAGAAGGCACACCACGTGTTTGTGGCTGAAGCATACAGTATGACATCATCTCAGTCACATAGGCCCTGTGGACTATGCTGACAATTCCGCACCACACAAAACAACACAAGAAAATCATAGAGAATCAGAAAGAAAATCACAGAGGATGGCTGCCCACAACATAACACCTACTATACAATAGAAGGTCACCTTTTGGAACCAGGTGGTCAGAAACAGAATGACAACGGTAGGAAACAATATGGCTTCCCATAGGAAGAGGTGTGCTTCTAGAGCTGTGAGGGAGGGCAGTGCCCTGGCCTGCTGGTGTGGATGTATCCTGCTGCTAATCAGACACTTCCTTCTTTCCTCCCTCTCTTCACACTGCTGCTGCAGCTACTGTCAGAGGGACTGTGTTATCTCTGCCTTCCTCTCTACGGCTTGTTTCTCACCCCTCATATCAGTCCTCTCAGGGGAGAGAAGAGACGGTGAGGTCATCTTTTATTTTTCTCTCCTCCTCGTTAAACAGAGTAGGGCAGAGCCCACACCCACCCACACACACACGGTGAACCGCGTGGCCACAACTTTCCCATATCTGCCCACCTGACCTTTAGAAGGCAGAGTTCAGCTTGTCAGGCCGAGAAGTGCGTCATGTTTGTACGGACTTTCCCAAAAGTGAAGGCTAATAACATGAAAAAAGGGTTTATTTAGTGAGGTCAGGTGGGAATGCTTGGCATGAACAGCGATAAGATAATCGCTTCCCAGAAACAAATTATCTCTAAGTCATGAAAAATGTTACAGTAATCAGACTATATGTGACTTTAACTGATTTGTAGGGACTGGAGTCAGAGTTTTACTTACGTTCCAAATCATTAGAGTACCAAGAGCTTTTGATCTGTGACTGTAAATTCATAAAAACATGAACATAATATAAAAATAATGATTATTGACTAGATTTATAACTACCATTAAGCTGCTGTTCATTGATTATTGATTGCTATGACCATTACTATCTATTTATTTATTCTGCTACTGGTCACTATTACTCCTGTTTACATGTATATATTACAATTAGTATATTACCATAAGTATTTACATATTCTTGCTACCAGTCACTTTTCAGCCCTGTTTCCAAGTATATCCTACTAATAGTCACTTTTGGAATAAGGCACTAATCTGTACAGTATTCTCGTGTTTCTTCACCCTATATCGTACTTCTTTTTTATTTATTTGTATTTATTTGTTTATGTTTTTTGTTCTATTTTCTATTATTATCTATATTATTATTACTATTACTGTATTGTTGGGAATGAGCTCTCAAAGTAACAACTTCACTGTACTGTTTTACACCTGTGCACGTGGCAAATAAACTTTGAAACTTGAAACATTAACTCACCAGTGTGGAGTCTTCCGTATCTGAGAGGGATTCCTTCTTCCCCTTCTCTTCTCCCTGGGTGTCTTTGTCTGGGGAGAGATACAGTATGACACAGGTATGACACAGGTATGACACAGACAAATATGGAACCTGATCCTATGACCCTATGAACAAACTAACACAGTATCCTCTCAGTAAATTAAACTTCATTTGAACTCATGCTCAAAATATGAACTCATAATAATGAATCATACCAGTAGTATCTAATGTATAAACAGTATATGCCTTGACTACCGTTTGGATAGCAACAATAAACCGCTGTCATGCAGGAAGAGAGAACAATGATCTCTATTTATACTACATCAGTGTAGATTCAGAGGATCTATTCTGCTCCATATTCCCATCCAGACAGGAAAGGGCCTGGGTGTAGCCATGTGCTCACAGACTGCCAAGACAGGGAGGGCTCTGAGTGGAAGATCACCTTTCAGGCTACCTCTATTTACAGAGCCTACTGTAAGGTCTGGTGAGATCATTGTATTGCTGCTTGGATACGTAAATACACACACAGCTCCAGTCACATTCACACAGCTCTCTAGATGACGGATATGGAACCTTTGACCTTTTCAGGATGACTCAGGGACAAGAGGCCAGAGATAGGCTTGGGCGGTATACCATATATACCGTATACCGGGGTATTTGGAAATAGCTACAGGATGGTTTTTCAATACCGTCAATACCGTTTAAACTATGTCTTTGAAGTTTTTTAATAAATGTTAATATTTGTAGCTACTGTACTTTAAGTAAATCCCTGCAGTCAACTTCTTCTATAGGTTAGGTGATGAAGAAGATCGCAATCTTAATTTAATCTGCCACATAATCTTTCATTATGAAATTTACCCGTAATCCCCAATCATGTGGTGTTTCTTTATAAGCACACAACAACGAGTGACCGGAGCCTTGTGAGTCACTCACTGTTGTGCAGCACACGCCAGGTGATTTACTTACAGTATGGAATTCACAACTAAATGTTTGCCAGCTAGATATCTTATAACTATTAAGTTAACTGTCTAAAATGTGGTAAATGCTCTGCAGTTGTGCATTTTGTTTGCTAATTTAGTTTCTAGTTAGCTATCTAGCTATCTAGCTAACCAAGTGATTGGTTAGCTTCTTCCAAAATCCTAACAGCAGAGAATCTCCTCCTGGATCAACAGCCTTGCTGTCTAATGTTTGTTTTGTGCGTGCAGCAAACTGTGAGTAGCATTTTTAGTTAATTGTAAAACTTTATGAGCTGGGATGTCTGTCCTGTAAATAGTTTAGGTCAGAGACTGTATAAAATGTTCGCGTTGCACTTTTTAGCATTTAGTTAGCATCCCCTATCGGATTTTACATGTACTTGTTAGCATTGCTAACCTTCGGATTACAGAGGCTAAGTAGGGTTTGAAAATAGCGCCCCTTGTGTTCAATGCCGGTATTACGGAATATCCTGGTATGGCACAAGGTCGGTATCTTTTTATATACATTTTTTATTTAACCTTTATTTAACCAGGTAAGCCAGTTGAGAACAAGTTCTCATTTACAACTGCGACCTGGCCAAGATAAAGCAAAGCAGTGCGATAAAAACAACAACACAGAATTACATATGGGGTAAAACAAAAAAAAGTCAAAAATACCACAGAAAATATATATACATTGTGTGCAAATGTAGCAAGTTATGGAGGTAAGGCAATAAATAGGCCATAGTGCAAAATAATTACAATTCTTATTAACACTGGAATTATATATGTGCAAGAGATTATGTGTAAATAGAGATACTAGGGTGCAAATGAGCAAAATAAATAACAATATGGGGATGAGGTAGTTGAGTGGGCAAATTTCAGAAGGGCTGTGTACAGGTGCAGTGATCGATAAGGTGCTCTGACAACTGATGCTTAAAGTTAGTGAGGGAGATAAGAGTCTCCAGCTTCAGAGATTTTTGCAGTTCATTCCAGTCATTGGCAGCAGAGAACTGGAAGGAATGGCGGCCAAAGGAGGTGTTGGCTTTGGGGATGACCAGTGAGATATACCTGCTGGAATGCATACTATGAGTGGGTGTTGCTATGGTGACCAATGAGCTAAGATAAGGCGGAGATTTGCCTAGCAGTGATTTATAGATGGCCTGGAGCCAGTGGGTTTGGCGACGAATATGTAGTGAGGACCAGCCAACAACAGCGTACAGGTCACAGTGGTGGGTAGTATATGGGGCTTTGGTGACAAAACGGATGGCACTGTGGTAGACTACATCCAATTTGCTGAGTAGAGTGTTGGAGGCTATTTTGTAAATGACATCGCCGAAGTCAAGGATCGGTAGGATAGTCAGTTTTACGAGGGCATGTTTGGCAGCATTAGTGAAGGAGGCTTTGTTGCGAAATAGGAAGCTGATTCTAGATTTAACTTTGGATTGGAGATGCTTAATGTGAGTCTGGAAGGAGAGTTTACAGTCTAACCAGACACCTAGGTATTTGTAGTTGTCCACATTTTCTAGGTCAGACCCGTCGAGAGTAGTGATTCTAGTCGGGTGGGCGGGTGCCAGCAGCCTTCGATTGAAGAGCATGCATTTAGTTTTACTAGTGTTTAAGAGCAGTTGGAGGCTACGGAAGGAGTGTTGTATGGCATTGAAGCTCGTTTGGAGGTTTGTTAACACAGTGTCCAATGAAGGGCCAGATGTACACAAAATGGTGTCGTCTGCGTAGAGGTGGATCTGAGAGTCACCAGCAGCAAGAGCTTGATATACATGGCGAAAAGAGTCGGCCCAAGAATTAAACCCTGTGGCACCCCCATAGAGACTGCCATAGGTCCAGACAACAGGCCCTCCGATTTGACACATTGAACTCTATCTGAGAAGTAGTTGGTGAACCAGGCGAGGCAGTCATTTGAGAAACCAAGGCTATTTAGTCTGCCAATAAGAATGCGGTGGTTGACAGAGTCGAAAGCCTTGGCCAGGTCGATGAAGACGGCTGCACAGTACTGTCTATTATCGATCGCGGTTATAATATCTTTTAGGACCTTGAGCGTGGCTGAGGTGCACCCATGACCAGCTCGGAAACCGGATTGCATAGCGGAGAAGGTACGGTGGGATTCGAAATGGTCGGTGATCTGTTTGTTAACTTGCTTTCAAAAACTTTCGAAAGGCAGTGCAGGATGGATATAGGTCTGTAACAGTTTGGATCTAGAGTGTCACCCCCTTTGAAGAGGGGGATGACCGCGGCAGCTTTCCAATCTCTGGGGATCTCAGACGTTACGAAAGAGAGGTTGAACAGGCTAGTAATAGGGGTTGCGACAATTTCGGCGGCTATTTTTAGAAAGAAAGGGTCCAGATTGTCTAGCCCAGATGATTTGTAGGGGTCCAGATTTTTCAGCTCTTTCAGAACATCAGCTGTCTGAATTTGGGGGCATGGGCAAGTTGCAGCGGAGGGTGCAGAGCTGGTGGCCGGGGTAGTGGTAGCCAGGTGGAAAGCATGGCCAGCCGTAGCAAAATGCTTGTTGAAATTCTCGATTATTGTAGATTTATCGGTGGTGATAGTGTTTCCTAGCCTTAGTGCAGTGGGCAGCTGGGAGGAGGTGCTCTTATTCTCCATGGACTTTACAGTGTCCCAAAACTTTTTGGAGTTAGTGCTACAGGATGCAAATTTCTGTTTGAAAAAGCTAGCCTTTGCTTTCCTAACTGCTTGTGTATATTGGTTCCTAACTTCACTGAAAAGTTACATATCGCAGGGGCTATTTGATGCTAATGCAGTAAGCCACAGGATGTTTTTGTGCTGGTCAAGGGCAGTCAAGTCTGAGGAGAACCAGGGGCTATATCTGTTCTTAGTTCTGAATTTTTTGAATGGGGCATGCTTATTTAAGATTGAGAGGAAAGCACTTTTAAAGAACAACCAGGCATCCTCTACTGACGGAATGAGATCGATATCCATCCAGGATACCTGGGCCAGGTCAATTAGGAAGGCCTGCTCGCTAAAGTGTTTTAGGGAGCGTTTGACAGTGTTGAGGGGTGTTCGTTTGACCGCGGACCCGTTACGGACGCAGGCAATAAGACAGTGATCGCTGAGATCCTGGTTGAAGACAGCGGAGGTGTATTTAGAGGGTAAGTTAGTCAGGATGATATCTATGAGGGTGCCCATGTTTACGGATTTAGGGTTGTACCTGGTAGGTTCCTTGATAATTTGTGTGAGATTGAGGGCATCTAGTTTGGATTGTAGGATGGCCAGGGTTTTAAGCATATCCCAGTTTAGGTCACCAAGCAGTACGAACTCTGAGGATAGATGGGGGGCAATCAATTCACATATGGTGTCCAGGGCACAGCTGGGGGCTGAGGGGGGTCTGTAGGAAGCGGCAACTGTGAGAGACTGATTTCTGGAAAGGTGGATTTTTAGAAGTAGGAGCTCAAACTGTTTGGGCACAGACCTGGATAGTATGATAGAGCTCTGCAGGCTAACTCCACCCCCTTTGGCAGTTCTATCTAGATGGAAAATGTTGTAGTTGGGGATGGACATTTCTGAATTTTTGGTGGCCTTCCTAAGCCAGGATTCAGACACTGCTAGAACATCAGGGTTGGCGGAGTGTGCTAACGCAGTGAATAACTCAAACTTAGGAAGGAGGCTTCTGATGTTAACGTGCAGAAAACCAAGGCTTTTACAGTTACAGAAGTCAACAAATGATAACTCCTGGGGAGTAGGAGTGATACTGGGGGCTGCAGGGCCTGGGTTAGCCTCTACATCACCAGAGGAACAGAGGAGGACTAGAATAAGGATACGGCTAAAGGCATTAAGAACTGGTCTTCTAGTGCGTTGGGTACAGAGAATAAAGGGGGCAGATTTCCGGGCGTTGTAGAATAGATTCAGGGCATTATGTACAGACAAGGATATGGAAGGATATGAGTACAGTGGAGGTAAACCTAAGCGTTGGGTAACAATGAAAGAGATAGCATCACTGGAGGCACCGATTGAGCCGGTCTCGGCGTGTATGGGGGGTGGAACAAAGGAGCTATTTGAGGCAGTTTGAGAATGACTTGGGGTTCTATATTGAAATTGTATAATAAGAACTAACTGGAACAGCAATAGGCAAGGCATATTGACATGGGAGAGAGGAATAAAGCAATCACAGGTGTTATTAGAGAGAGCTAAGACAACAACTGGTAATGGCGATGAAAGTTTGGGCTGAGGCTAAACAGATAAACAGGACAGGGTACCGTGTAAAGGAACAGTCCAGCAGGCATCAGCTGTGCAGCTGAGTGATCATAAGGTCCAGTGAACAGCAATATGTGAGTCCGAGAGCAGTTCGAATTAGTGCTAAAGCACAGCGAGCAGGAAGCACGGCTGTTGTTTGCGTGTGCTAGCGGGCCGGGGCTAGCAGATGGATCTTCGTGATGGTCGCAACAGGAAGCCTGTTGAAACCACAGACGATTACGTCGGCAGACCAGTCGTGATGGATCGGCGGGGCTCCGTGTTGACTCTAGGAGGTCCCGTCCGGTTGACAGAGAGGTAGATAGCCGGGAGATATGCCTGACTCGAGGCTAGCTCAAGGCTGATTAGCCATCAACAACATCCATTTGGTTGCAGCTAGCTAGTTGCGATGATCAGGTGTTAAAGGTCCAGTGATTTAGTGATTCCGGCAGAAAATCCGATATGTTCTGGGTCGATAACGCGCTGTGCAGACAGTGCAGACTGGCCGATAATAGTCCAGGCTAGAGCTGGCTGGTAGGTAGTGGAGGCCACGGACAATGGTGAAAAACCGCTAACGGTGGCTAATAGCAAGTAGCTAGTTAGCTGGCTACTCCCGTCCGGTAGACAAAGAGGTAGATAGCCGGGATATGGGCCTGGCTCAAGGCTAACTGGTGCTTGCTTCGGGGGCAGTGGTGATTAGCCTACAGCAACATCCATTCGGTTGCGGCTAGCTAGTTGCGATCCGGTGTTAGGGTCCAGTGATTAAGTTATTCCGGCAGAAAATACGATGTTCTGGGTGAAAACCGCTAACGGTGGCTAAAAGCAAGTAGCTAGTTAGCTGGCTAGCTAGTTTCAACTGGAGATTCTAGATAAAGGTGAGTAAATAATAGAATCCGTTCCACATTGAGTGAGGCGGGTTGCAGGAAAGTATATTTAGTAGAAGGATGAAAAGTGTGATAGGGAAATATGTACGAAAAATACAAAAAAATACAAAAAACTGGCTATTTACACCGACACACAACAAAGAACACGACCGCACTGCTACGCCATCTTGGATGTAATGAAGGTATGACAATCTGGATACTGACCAAGCCTAGCCAGAGTCTCATATAATGTTTCTCCTGAAAATCAAACTTCTCTAATTTACATGCTGTAGCTGACAATATGTGGTAAAAGTTACATTTTAATATAATCTACTTTCTGTTTTGGGGTCTCGCTTGAGGTAAATATTCTGTGGTTCAACCTCCATAGAATGCCATGACAAATGACAGCCTCTCCCTTTTTAGCAGCGGTAGCTCAGGCTGAACTAATGGTCACATGCTCAGAGTCATACGACAGTGTGCTCACACTCAGAGCAGGCGGTGCATTTTAGAAAGATGCAAAAAATGCACACCAGGCTTGAATTTAGCAGCTGGGCTAGGCAGAGACATAAAGTAGAGGATATATAGTAGAGGGTTCATGTACATGAAAAGCGAGCTTCAGGTTTTCCTCATGACCCAAATCTACTTGAATTTGAATTTGACCTTGTACTAACTAGTGCAGCTGGACGATATGGAAAAAGATCCATATTGCGATAAATGGACAATTCTTTGGCGATAATGATCAATCAACCACAGTAAACATGTCGTCCCCCATGAATGATGCAGCGCCCCCCTTGGGCCAATCAGTGTAATTTTGTAAATGCCGGATCTCTATGGCACGACGCATCATTCACCTAAGTTTCATCAAAATCGGACCAGTGTTGTCTGACATGTCGTGTGTGACTAACGTACAAACATGCTAACATACTAACAGACGGAGACAGATCCACAATCCCCTACCCAATTTCCTTGTGGGGAAAAAAACTAGAACAACAGTAGTTGCTTTGAAAACGGTCTTTTCCCCGCAATTCCATTTTGAGCATTGGTCATATGCTTGTGCTTCTCCCTCCTCCGTGCGCTGAGAGTGGTTCACTCACACAGCAGCCGACAGCTAAACAGGGACAGGCAGATACTTTCATAGCAAGAATCAACATTATGCATAGGCTACTACTGTTACCATATCATGGTTTTAGCACAATCTACACGAACGTTGTGTAGCAAAATGCTTTGATAAGAGGAAGGCAATGTTGGTGTCAGTCATTTTCCATTTATCGTCCCAGCTCTACTAACTAGTCATCAAATTGAATCAAATTGTATTTGTCACATGCGCCGAATACAACAGGTATAGACCTTCCTGTGAAATGCTTACTTGATTGAAATGTTTCAATTAAATGGTTTCTTCTTATTCATCTAGATTAATTAATCCATAGGTAAGTAAGCAAAGCAATAGCATAGCAACATCAAGATATAAAAGGGCCATTAGCAGTTACCATTGTTTTATCATTGTGTGGCCTTACCTTTCACAGACTTGTCAAGTGGTCTTAAAGCTTCAGAACTCTCCACTTTAGTATCCAGCGTTCTCTCACTCACTCCATCCAGACTGGCCAGCGTGTCTGAGGACAGCAGGCCCAAGGACAATCCACTGTCTACTTTCACTGAGGAGCTGTGCTTCTCCTCACCGAGGCCTGTTCCACTGTCTAGCTCAGAGGGGGAAGTCAGCTCCGAACTCTGGGCCGTACCACTGTCCGAGTCACTGGCCGTATGTAAATGTACAGGTGTGGCCGGGCTCTCTGGAATAGCCTCCTGATGTGTCAGCTCTGAGGATCTCTCTGGGGAGATAGTGGAGGAGGATGTGATGACCTCATCACTCTGTCTGTCCACAGCCCTTTCGTCATGTAACAACATGTCTATCTGAGGGTGGGAGTCTCCACACTCTCTGCTGACTGCTACACTCTCTCCCTTGGTCAGACTCAGGCCTGCTTGTCTGGCCTCCACTTCATTTTCATTCCCAGGTCTGGCTTTGGACAGGTCACTGCTCTCCTCTCCTTGTAAAAGATGAGGCTCATCCTCTCCCTTTGAGGGGTTCTTGTCCATCACATCCCCCTCACAAGGTGAGACAGTAGGATCCCCGTCTGAGGTAAGCGTCTCAGTGGCCTCAGACACAGTGACCCCTGACCTTTGTGCAGTGTCTTTGGGTCCAGTCTGATGCTCACTCTCGCCGTCAACAGCCTCCTGTAACTGGCTTGCCTCCAGCATTGAGTTGGAGTTGCATTGTTCTATGTTTGCTACAGCAGCTGCTACTGCTATGGCCACCACTGCTACAGCTGTGGCTGCTATCTCCTCCCTACACGGCAGAGAGTCTACCTCTTCTAATGATGCCCACTGTACAGACACCTTCTTCTTTATAGGGGTCTCCTCTCCTGTGACTGTCCCCTCTTCAGACAGTTTGTCCGCGGAGCAACTATCCAACTGAACGAGTTCTCCCTCCTGACGAGAGGGTGTGTGGTCTGTGACATCATCAGAGTGCTGTGGCCCCATGGTCCACTTCTCTATGCTCGATCTCTCTCCATCCTCAGTGGACGCCTGTTCCTCACATTCCTGCCCAGCCTCGTGGCCCTGGCTGTGGGCGCCGTCCTGATTATTCTGTGGTGGGGGTACCACTACCTCCACTGTGCCCTCCGCTGGCTGATCCAGGACCTGCTCACTGGGCTCTGGTGCTGTAACGCTACTGGGTCCGTGTGAACGGCTGCTCTCGCTTTCTCCCTCCGCCATACTGGGGCTCTGCTTCATGCTGTTTGTGTCAGTCTCTCCACTTCTGCTTCTGGCTGACTCAGTGCTACCATTGGTCTGTTGGCTGGGGTTTCCTTCCTCACTCTTTCCGCCACAATCACCACCTCTCTCAGTCTCAGACCGCCGGATCTGGCTGCTGTTATTGGCCCACTCGTGCTTCTCAGAATAACGTGTCACTGCTGTGGTGATTTCCTGTCTTTGTACGGCGTCTTCTGACTGTGCAGCCTGTGCCTGTGTCTGATGGCATCTCACAGCTCCTGTCATTGTCTGCAGAGTACATTCAGAGGCGGCCTCCGCGTACTCCACCTCCACCTCGCCGCCGCTATGTCCGTCGTGCTGTCCATTCTCCAAAGGAGCCCCAGCCACTATCTGAGCCCAGGCTGCTCTAGAATCCATCTCCTCGATGTTGTCAGGCTCCCCCTGCCCTTCCATAGTCTTCTGAGCCCTCGTGTCCCCACAGCTGCTACTGCTGTTGCCTGTACTCCCCTCCCCAGTCTTCAGGGGCCAATGCTTGGCTTCCGTGTGTTCCGTGTGTTCCGGGTGTTCCTGGGACTGTGCGTGGCCCATGGCTGGCGTAACCGTCGTCGGAGAAGCAGCAGCCTTATCGCCCGTCTCAGTCTCTGCTCTCCTCTTCTCTCTCTCTTCCTTGTTCCTTTTACGGCGCCCTGCCTTGCTGCTCTGCCTGGCAGTGGTTACGCCTGTCCTCTCTCTATCAGCTTCCTCCTGCTGGTTTCCACAGGAAGGTACGCTGAAAGCTGGTGTCTCGCCCTCCCTCTTCCGCCGCTGTACTGCAGCTTCACTTCTTTTATCTGGCGCCTTCACAGAGTCCTTTACTGCTGCCTGAGCAGGGCCCGCCTCCCCTTCCTCTGGCTGGCCGTTTGGACAAGGTAACGCCCCTCCCGCGAGGTGGCCATGGCTGTGTTGGGGGTGTAAAGCTGTGTGCGCTGATGTGTTGCTGATGTCACTGGATGCTGCTGTAGTGTTTAGTTCGTCTGGTGACTGCTGCTGGAACACATGATCTCCCTACAATACAAACAGAAATGCAGTGTTCATTATTGTCCCATAAATTAAACATCAATTACACACATAATATATCACACATTACACAGACAGATGTTCACTTCTAGTCGAGATAAGACGTGCACAAAACTTTCAGAGCAAACAAAACCCACAGGTAACTTACAATAGGCCAGGATATTTGATTCTGGGTTTTGAGATGACTTACTGTATGAGCTCTTTGCTGCACTAGGAGCTGTAAGGAATACGGCAAGTAAGTCATGGTTTAAAGCAACAAAATGAGACAGCAGACAGAGTTGAAAGCAGACAGAGTTAAATGCCGAGTTCTATAGCTCACCTTGTTGTCTCTGTGTGAGCGGATGAGTTTCCGTATCTTCTCCACCTCTCCCTGCAGGCTGGGCGGAGGTTTCCCTGGCACCGTGTCCACCGTCAGGGTGTAGGTGTTCAGTCTGGGGTGGTGCTGCAGCGCTCGGCCTCCTGGGTAACACTGCCTCTCCTCTGCCTTTATCCGGGTCTCCGGCGAGGTCTCAACCCTGCTCAACACAAACAGAACATACCTTATCAGAGCGGAGGAAGCCAAAGCACTCAGCACTGACTCAGCATTGAGCACTACCTACGCCCATAATATATCAGCTAGTGTGACCCACAGGTTAATTCCCAGGGTAGGCACTGGAGACAAACCTTTCACCTTTCCACCGCCAACCTCACCACCAAACTGGTCAGCTTCATTGCTACTTCTATCTCAATCAGATAACTGGTTTTAATTAATTATTCTATGATATCAGTGGAATTGAAAAAGTAAACACCACTTCTCCCTTTCTAATCTCCTCCACATGAAACCAGTTACAAGTAACAAGTAACAAAGAAGAACAGAAAACGAAGAAAAGAGAACAAACATGGCCATGCTAAAATTACGTTTCCTGCATGGTTCTATTCTAAATGCCTCTTGTAATGGCTAAATCCTAGGAGGGATTTTAGTCGTGTATTGTCCTGTCGCGCTGGCTCTGGGTGTGGGTCTCTCTCTGCCTGGTTTGAGTAATCTGTTCTACTCTCTCACAATGACTAGAACTGACTCTAATCGACTCAGGGGTGATGATGTCACCACTGGTAAACTCCGGTGAGCGAGACACAAAACCAAAACAATATGATCGAAACAGGGCTTTGGAAACAAAGGGCAGGAGGGAGTCATTCAGTAAATGGATGGGATGAGTAAGATCATCCTCCTCTAGCCCCATGCAGCCCCTGCGACAGGAGTGCAGCCCTAGGTTCAAATACTATTTGAAATCATTTCCAATACTTTTTCCGTGTTTGATTGAGCTTGCCTGGCTTAATGGACCAATAGAATAGTCCCAAAACTGCAAACCCTGCCCCATATGCCACTCCAGGCAGGCTAGAGCAAAAACCTAAATATTTCAAATAGTATTTGAATCCTGTTCTGCAGGAGCGATGAGATCAGGGGATGTTCTCACCTGCCTCTTGGCGCTCAGTGCCAGCACAGGGCTGAATGGGTATCCATGGCAACCCCCTAACATCATTCACTGGGGAATGAAAGGCAGGACGTGGCGCAGTGGAAGAACAGAACAGAGCCACGTTGTGGGACCTGAGTTGGGAACCTGAATGCACCCAGGACCCAGCCTCTATCTCAGCAGCCAGGGGAGCGCTTTTAACAACACACAGTGGCCATGAAGATAACTATACTATAAATGTTGGGGCTTTTGTTCCTTTATTAATGATATATGACCTAACCAACTTATTCCTACAGCCATCGGGTGGAATGTACACAACTATGCTGTTGGGATTCAGCCATGACACCTAACTGTTCTCCTGTGCCAAATAACAGCAGGCTCTCCCTGAACTGAACTAATCCTGTCCCAGAGCATTTAACGTCAGAAGCCAGGTGACTCAATCTCTCCACTCCCAGCTTAACTAATTTCAGGACTCTTTCCACAGCACTCCCGAAACTACACCAAACAACAGCCTCCCCAACTACACCAAACAACATCAGAGAGATGAACATGGGTTGGTGTCTATGTGACTGCTGTAACAGTTACATTCAGATGAGGAAGTGCAGGAAGAGTAGGTAAGGATAGATATAGTAAAAACAGTTGCTTTGTTCTCCTCTGTAACATACACAGTGACTCTGAGAGGCTCCCACCAGATCTGTTCTCTCTCTCTCCTACGGTACGGTGATCAGGTTTCACCACCTCCACCAAACCTGGGCCGACATAGACCCGGGATCCGGTGACCCAGGGGACAGCAAAGCAGTCTGTGTGACGCAGACTAAGAAACACCATGCAGTGTTGGGGCCTGAGAGTGTCTCTGTGACCCGGTCACTACTGGTCCACGCAGGTCCAGGATAGCATGTCCCTGTCTGGGACTGGGTGACATCTGAACCTCAATGTCATAGAGAGAGATAAGTGACCTCTGGTGAACTCTGTAATGAGGTCACTCGTATGCGCTCAGCTGGAGACCAGATCACCACTGTGTCACTGACGACACTGATGGAACAGGTAAGCAAACTGGTTTGGTGAAGTGCTGGTGGTGGAGGTTGTGGCTGGGAGCAAATTATCTCTACTAGATAAACTCTAAATGCAGTTTGTCTAGTAGGTCAGTGAAACCACTGTTTCCCAACATTCGCACTATGACTTTTTCAGTGGTAAAACTGTCATCTGTGTTTGGGGGATGTAACCTACAAGTGGGACTGCTGAGTTAACATTGGTCTAGTTTTGAAACCAAAATCTAGTATGCGATCTGTCATCTAGCACGTTAACATCCCCTCCTAATTCTAAAACAGTACAAATATAAAAAACTCAAATTGATGTCATCATGAGGCACCAGGTAGGTACATTTTGTGATTTTGTCCCACAAATACGACCCCATACTGGTCTGACTTTACGTACTTAACAAAGTGCATATAACATTGGACTCTGATTTCTGTGATGACAGCAGCAGACCAGAGCGAAGCTGCTGAGTTTGTCCTTGGTCTGTCTCTGTGTTCCCCTAACACTCCAAACACATTTCAACATCCCTAGCTCCTAACTAACCAGAGCTGTTCCCATTCCTATGGTTACATAAAGACACCTCTCGTTGGTTTGGATTCCAAATCCTAATGAGCTAGCTAGAAATTCTTGCCTATTCCTCTGTAGGAATGCAAGGGTACGTGTTAAAAAAAGGGTGATGAAGAGCTACCTAAAGATGTGACGATGTTGACAGCAAATAAATGCTGTGGAGAGTGTTGTGCATTTCATTCACAGATAAGACTCTGAAAACAGCAGAATATATTATTTAGACACTGTTTCTTTAACAAGTTCTGCTTTTCTTAACACGTCCCAGAGATGGTAGAAACGGCTGGCTAGCTAGCTTACTCCTATATAAACATAATAATCATGTATCTGAAGGTTATTACTACTGTAGTAAAGGTTATTCATATTTAGGCCCTGTGTGCAGTATGTACAGTCGTGGTCAAAAGTTTTGAGAATGACACAAATCCTAATTTTCACAAAGTCTGCTGCCTCAGTTTTGATGATGGCAATTTGCATATAATCCAGAATGTCATGAAGAGTGATTAGATGAATTGCAATTAATTGCAAAGTCCCTCTTTGCCATGAAAATGAACTTAATCCCCCAAAAATATTTCCACTGCATTTCAGCCCTGCCACAAAAGGACCAGCTGCCATCATGTCAGTGATTCTCTCGTTAACACAGGTGAGAGTGTTGACGAGGACAAGGCTGGAGATCACTCTGTCATGCTGACTGAGTTAGAATAACAGACTGGAAGCTTTAAAAGGAGGGTGGTGCTTGAAATCATTGTTCTTCCTCTGATAACCATAGTAACCTGCAAGGAAACACATGCCGTCATCATTGCTTTGCACAAAAAAGGCTTCACAGGCAAGGATATTGCTGCTAGCAAGATTGCACCTTAACCAACCATTTATCGGATCATCAAGAACTTCAAGGAGAGAGATTAAATTGTTGTGAAGAAGGCGTCAGGGCGCCCAAGAAAGTCCAGCAAGCGCCAGGACCGTCTCCTAAAGTTGATTCAGCTGCGGGATCGGGGCACCACCAGTGCAGAGCTTGCTCAGGAATGGCAGCAGGCAGGTGTGAGTGCATCTGCCTGCTGTGAGGCGAATACTTTTGGAGGATGGCCTGGTGTCAAGAAGGGCAGCAAAGAAGCCACTTCTCTCTAGGAAAAACATCAGGGACAGACTGATATTCTGAAAAAGGTACAGGGATTGGACTGCTGAGGGCTGGGGTAAAGTCATTTTCTCTGATGAATCCCCTTTCCGATTGTTTGGGGCATCCGGAAAAAAGCTTGTACGGAGAAGACAAGGTGAGCGCTACCATCAGTCCTGTGTCATGCCAACAGTAAAGCATCCTGAGACCATTCATGTGTGGGGTTGCTTCTCAGCCAAGGGAGTGGGCTCACTCACAATTTTGCCTAAGAACACAGCCATGAATAAAGAATGGTACCAACACATCCTCCAAGAGCAACTTCTCCCAACCATCCAAGAACAGTTTGGTGACGTACAATGCCTTTTCCAGCATGATGGAGCACCTTGCCATAAGGCAAAAGTGATAACTAAGTAAGCTCGGGGAACAAAACATTGACATTTTGGATGATGGTCAGGAAACTCCCCAGACCTTAATCCCATTGAGAACTTGTGGTCAATCCTCAAGAGGCGGGTGGACAAACAAAAACCCACAAATTCTGACAAACTCCAAGCATTGATTATGCAAGAATGGGCTGCCATCAGTCAGGATGTGGCCCAGAAGTTAATTGACAGCATGCCAGGGCGGATTGCAGAGGTCTTGAAAAAGAAGGGTCAACACTGCAAATATTGACTCTTTGCATAAACTTAATGTAATTGTCAATAAAAGCCTTTGACACTTATGGAATGCTTGTAATTATACTTCAGTATACCATAGTAGCATCTGACAAAAATATCTCATAACACTGAAGCTGCGAACTTTGTGAAGACCAATACTTGTGTCATTCTCAAAACTTTTGACCACGACTGTAGTATGTGATCCAGTTGAGTACTTACTCAGTGAAGAGCTGATGTAGCTGGTCGTGGCCCCTCTTCTCTGCCACGCTGACTGGTGTAGATCCCTGCTTATTGGGCAGTCTGAGAGCCTCTCTGCCTCCTGGCTGCTGGAGCAGGAACAAGGCCACCTTCCGCAGCCCGCGCCGAGCCGCAAAGTGCAGGAGGGTCTCGTGTGGACCAGGCTCAGCTGGACACGACAGACAGGGAGGGAGATTTACACTGGGCTCAGCGACGGTCAACAGTTACAGTCCTCTAACTAGAACACAACACACAAGCAACGATCTCCTGCCAGCAGGCATCCAACAACAATTCAACTTCTGCTTAATAGCCGACATGTTTACTCTGTTACTGTGTGATCAGTAACCTGTTTTACAGTACAGAATGTTCATATGTAAATCCCTAAGTGCATTTGCAGGCATGCACGGGTGCTTCCCTCTCTCCACTCTCCCTAACCCCTCCCACCTTTGCTATAAGCCTGAAGAGTCCCGCCCTCCTAACCTGTGTGACCCACCGTCCTGTCTGAGTCATGTGTCTAATAACCCCGCCCCCTATTTCCCTCTCACTCCTCCTACTGGTCAGACTGCTGATCCTCTGCTTCAATACACAGTGAACCACCAGGAAGGCCTGACATGGAGGTGTGTCTTTAATTACAAACCACACAGCTACAGTCTCATTTCAGTGAGGGTAATAAAGTCTTATGGAGACTTTCTCCCAACTCCCCACTACTCTCAATGCTGTATCAGGAGATTATCTGCAATGTTACAGAAGGCTCTATTCTGAGAGTAGAGAGCCTTGTCGACCGGGCCGGGCGGTCGCCATTACCATCGCAGCAGTATGAGGACACACAGTGGGAGGATTGTTCTACTGTGGTTAATGAGAGGCTGGGAAAGAGACTGCCCTGGTTTCAACAGCCCACTGGTAATTCAACAAACCAATTTGGAGCCCCCACAGAAAGAGGTGTTGCACAAAAAGGAGTCCTACTAGAAACGTCATCCGGTATTGAGGAGATGGGGATTAGGTCGTAGCGGGGCTGAGGGTGCTAATTTAACACAGTTTGCACCAGGTCTGACACCAGAAGTCTATGTTTGAAGCAGATATTTGAATGACTGCTGCACACCAGAGCAGACAAGAGTAGAATGTGTTATTGTCTCATTTTCCTGTGAAATGCTGTCAGAGAAAAAGGAACTAAAACAAGAAACACATACTCTATTGTATCACACTGACAGACATACTCAATACAATACAAACGTACATACAATGGCAGGTTAGCTGGTCTGTAACATTAATGGGAAACTATCCAATGCTGACCTCTACTAGACTCAGTTTAGTGCATCTGATTTGTAGAAACACGGAGACAATATGAGCATGGACCGCCATTTCCTCTATGTGAGCCCCATTCTATGGTAGGACTCAGCGCATTCACTCCAACAACCACTTACAGGAGTAGGGAGAGACCCTAACAAATCAGATTTTCCACCAGCGCTGGATTCTCATGGCTGCTTCTCTCCCACAAACCCTCAGCATAACTGCTGCGCGACGCGATGGAATGCTAGCAGATCCTCTGTTGGCACTTAGAGCGTTGGCAGCCCATGTGACAAGGGATAAAATATGCTTTTAGGAGTTTTACTGCATTTTTCATGATAATAATGGCCCTCTGTGCTTTATTTCAACCAGAATGAGTTGTTGGCTGGGGCCGGGTGCTGGGGCCGGGCAGTGCCAGCAGAGCCAGTAGAGAGAGAGAGCCTCTGGACCTAAGGCCCACTAGTTCCAGGGCTCACGCCCGTCGGCCAGGTACCCGGGACCAGCTTCAGGAAATGCCAGGGCTGGAGAAGGCATTACACAGCTGGCCCACTCAACCGGCAGCTTGGGGAGAGGAATTTAATTTTTCCTAACCTGGCTGCAGGATAATCTATTCTAAACGAACCTTCCGTCCCCCCCCCTTTTTTTTCCAATTTTTTTTTAAACATCAGGGAGTTTTGGAATCATGAATATTATCAGGGAAGGTAACAGTGGAACCGGAGGAGATGCGAGGCACAGGGGAAATAGGCAGAGTCACCTGTCCGACCTCATAAAGGACTGCAGTGCTTTCATCTGAGTGCCAGGCCCAGAACCAATTGAAGGATATAAACTAGTCAATCTGACAGGTGTTTCTAGCTCACCATACATTGTTGGCTAGTTCTGTACATTGTTGGCTAGTTCTGTACATTGTTGGCTAGTTCTGTACATTGTTGGCTAGTTCTGTACATTGTTGGCTAGTTCTGTACATTGTTGGCTAGTTCTGTACATTGTTGGCTAGTTCTGTACATTGTTGGCTAGTTCTGTACATTGTTGGCTAGTTCTGTACATTGTTGGCTAGTTCTGTACATTGTTGGCTAGTTCTGTACATTGTTGGCTAGTTCTGTACATTGTTGGCTAGTTCTGTACATTGTTGGCTAGTTCTGTACATTGTTGCTGTGCAGATGTCTCTGCCAAATCACTGAGCTCTTACAAGCTCAATCCCTGAGCAAAAAGGACAGACGTCATTCAGATACTACAGATCCCAAAAGGTTTAATAGGATATATCTTTCACTGAGAGGGCAAGATAAAGTAGTCCTTTGAGAGGCTGATAGGATAAAAAAAAAAGGCTGGGGGAGGGGCACTCTCAGTCTTTAAGCTCTCAGCGTTTTTGTGCTCCTCTTATCTATCCCTGACAGAGGCACATGGTAACAACACAACAGGACATCTGCTCGCCATAACAGCCGTCAGTGGCACAGCATGGCCTCCATCCTCCACATTCTGACAGAATGCACGATGTGTAACTAACATTAAAGCGCTAAACACGTTCTGTTAGTATGACAATCTGTCATCAGTCAAAGCAAAATACAAAGACAGTAGACGCCTAGATACAGAAATGCATAAAAAGCATGCAGGCTATAGATTTCTGTGAGTTGGAATGAGACCATATGTTTCAACAACAGACTACTCAAAGGGGACCTGAGGCAAAAAGGACTGAACAGTCCTTCATATGACCTTATTTAGTATTGCTGTAACTATCAAATCAGCCTGGAATTTACATTCTTAATCAACTATAGATGATGGATTATAATTGCTAAGCGGTGGTATAAAGAAAGGTCTAGTGAAAACAATGCTTCAAGAAAAACAGAAATGTCTTGTTCAAATCTGTTTTCTTCAATTTGGTATTCCAAATTACCAGCAGGAGCCTATAGTTTTTATGATGACATATGGGTCCTGTACTATTATATGGCTCTATAGGGGCATAACTTCCAACCGATCTTACAAGTGGCTGAATGGGCTGCCTGTCTGTCTGGTCTGCCTCAAGTGGGTTCATGACCTCTCCTGCAAACTTAATTCATACAGTCTTTAATTCCTGGTACAGAGAGAGCGAGAGCGAGAGAGAGAGCGAGAGAGCGAGAGAGAGAGAGAGAGTGAGAGAGAGAGAGAAAGAAAGGAGAGAGCACACTAACACTCTACTGACAAGAGCAGGCGTACAGGCTCCAAATGAAACAAGCATCAGTCAGCTGTGACCAGAGCCCCGACATTTATCCCAACAATCCCCTTTGAGCTCCAGTACAAGTCCCAGGCTCTGGTTAATAGGCCATATAAACACTGTGGGTTACTGCCCACTTCTTCATTGGGTGGGAATGTTTGTTTTTAGCATATCTGACATTGCGTTCCTGACTTATTATGACGACCCAATAGGAGCAGAAAACAGAAACACAGAGGAGGAAATAAAGTGGATCTAAACTCAGCCGGAGAGCCGAGCCAAGAACATCAGGAGTGGAGGATTGGAGCTATCCCAGGGGCATGATGGCAACCTCCCTCTCTCAGATAGAGCCCTTCCTCGCCTCACTAGGGCAGACCTCTCCGGTCAGACTCTCACTCCTCTCACTGTCCCTGTCCCTGTGTGCCAATTAACAGAATCACTGCAGTCAGATTGAAATGTCAGAGCCCCCCAAAAAAACACAAGGCAACAAAGTGACCTCTGATTGGTCGTTAGCACGACCGGCTCTTTCTCCGGAGGCCGTGAGTGGCTGGAGCAGATGTTAATGCCCGGGAGGCAGAGCTGGAGTATCATTAGTGAACCACCTGGTGGGCGCGCTCCACTACTCATTCAGCAGAACGGGACCCCGGCCAAATCATCTCTCAGCTCAGGGAGGAAGGAACAAAATGTTCCTCAGTCTACTTAATTACCTTACTGAGGCGTGAACCGAACACAGCAGCACATACTGTATGAAATCTACAGGCACATTAAGAGGGAATAAAGCAGACCATACCGTGAGAAGCATTCAAAAATAGGTGCATAGTGACGCCCAAACTTACCTGGTGGTGTGCCCACGTTGGTACCCAGGACGCTCCACCCCTGGGGCAGGACCAGGTGTCTAAGGGCCAGGGAGAGGCTGTCGTCCAGCCGCTCACACTCCTGCAGAGGGATCTGGCACTCGTCCAGCAGCAGTGCCCCCTCCAGACCGTCGGCCTGCCCCGCAGCGCTCACCAGGAACTGGGCCATGTCGAAGGCCAGGTCCTGGACGAACTGGAAGCGCTCTTCAGCCACGGGATCCACGGAGCCGCCCGGCCGCGCCGAGCACAGCGTGACCTGCACCGATTCAGAGCAGTCGTGGGCTGGGAAAGAGAAGGAGGAGAAGAGGGTTAGTATACTTTTTACATACAAGCATGGGCTGAGGAGGGAGCACAATGGGTTAATACAACCTGTCTGTTACTGTACATACACATGCTTCAGACATGGTAAAATACTTTACAGTGTGAGTTTATAGTGTGTATCGGCCTATACAGCTCAGTTGAGCCTAGAAAAAAAGAACAAAAGAAAATAGGTTAAAGCTCCACTGTCCTGCTGCAATGCTGGCTTGAGATATCTGTGACCTCTTTGGTTGCTAAGATGCGCAAGATCCAAACATGAAACACTCTTTGACAGTGAATAGTTTTAAAAACAACAGAGAAATGAAAAGGAAACATTCAGCGTTTAAGTCTCTCGTCAGATAATACGGGTAGAAGTGACAGAGTAGGAGAAATACCACATAGCTTGCCCAAATAACTTGGCTGGTGTCAACAGGTTTCAGAGTGGACACACTTTAATCTACCCTCCATCCCAGTGGACCTTTAAACAGACCATTTTAATTATATTTAAATATGTATTATAGAAGAGACCTGTGAACCAACTGTTAAATATGCTATTCTCACAATCAGAGGAATATCCATTAGCTACAGGTGTCGCAAACAGGGGAAATGACCATCAAAACCTATTAGCATCTATGAAAAGTGTCGCCCTTTACTGTCACACCTATATACTGCTTGAAGTATATGGCAGATTTCAGCACTGACAAGCGCTAAATTGGAGCACAGTGGCTGTACAGTAACATGCTATTAATGACGTCAGAGTTGTGGCTCTGCGCTTCACAGTATGGGTTTTGTATGGGTTTTGACTGACAGCCGTTCTGAACTTAAGCACCACACGCAACAAGAAGTTGAACCTGTTTGTCTATTGTGAAAAACATTTTACGTGGAACACGCACCCGAATGCACACGACTCCTTTCTATGCGCACTAAAATTACGATCTGTTCCTCTGAATTGCCCTGTGAAAGCATAGCTTTAACTTAGCTAGTCATGTTGGCAATAGAACATTTATAATGGGCCGTTTTTGGATTGCGTAAACAACAACAGTAATTGTGTGATGCAGGGTTGTGTTCCAAACAAAAACAGTGTGCTTGCTCTAGTTCCTCAGTAGCACAGCTAGGAGCGCTCAAAAGAAAAGCACCTTATACTGTAGTTGAAGACTCTACTTTGAGTCATAAAAGTGCATTGAAATTATTTAGGAACTGTGCACAATTTGGAGAGATGTGTGCCTCTGTGGCCACTCGGTGACACCAGTTAGTCATCTCACTCAAACCCTTATCATTTTTTTGTCTTATGTTGCACCTACCCCACATTTTCCAGGAATATTCTTATGTTACTGAATGTATCCAGAGTATTTTCAGATTGCGGCGAAACGTACAGTAAATGTAAAATACACATAAAACCAATAGTTTAACATTTGGATTCAGTCTTGTGTCAGGTGAACTGTTGTGTCATCAACTTTTGTCTAATTATTTTCCCATAAGCTACAAACTGTTCCCTTACAATTGCTACCATGGTTATGCATACGCTTTTCATATTTCTTCTGTAAGAAACATTTCCATGTAGCCCTATCCATATAGGCCAATTCCCACGAATGTAAAGGGTTAAAAACATGGCCTAGTGACATGATGTACTGTACTGTTCTTTACTATGTTCCTCCCTGTACTGAAAATGAATGGACTCCACAGCAAAAGGCCATGTGAGAGCCATATGTTTTTGAGAGCTCATATTAGTCATGACATAGGAGTGAGGGGACAGAGGTGACAGCACGCAAACATTCAGGAGGCCCACCTACTCCTATTCATGGCTCTGCTGACGTCCATACACACAACACAAACACAGATAAATCAGAGATGGGGCAGACATCATGCCATCATCCATATGCCACATGTCAGCCATGTTTTTACACGGACCATGCATGGTGATCAGGGTTATAACTGAAGCCGGGTTAAATATAAAAATAACTTTTCTGTTGGACAAAAATATATCTAGGACTTCTTCTGGTAAGGCTGCCTAGACATAAACACCCTGTGGATGAAAACATGGTTTATTACCAACGGCCAGACTGAGACAGATATAATTATTGAGCAAAGTTCTCACATTATAACAATCTATTTCCATGACTGGGAGAGAGGCATACATCTAGAAGAGAAGCAGTCATAAACAAAGATTACCTTCCTGTGTCAGCTGCCAAGAGGCTGGTCCCATTTCAGTGGAAGCAAAAAGCACACATCATTAGCTGGAAATCCACATACAATGTCTCTATTTGCCCATGAAGAGTGGTGTGTGCACGTGTGTGCACGTGTGTGTATGTGTTTGAGTGTGTGTGTGTGTGTGTGTTCGTGTAACTATAAAATACTTGGTTAACACATGCACACACACAACCAGTAGGACTGTCCAGCACCAGAATGTTGTTTGAAACCCATCTCTCGTCTGACTGTCCCGTGGGGTAAAAAATGTCAATGTTTAATTCCTGTTGATAAAAACGTCCTAGCAACCATCGGTTTCACTATAACAAGAGCCGGGACCACCGGCGGTGGCAGAGCTTTGTGAGGGAGACAGAAGTGCACCTGAGGGGGATAACAGAGCTTTCTGAAGCTCTTCACCACGTCCATTTGGAGGTCTTAATGCACCGGCCAAAATCCTTTAAGTGTTCTTACACTGGATTGATTACACAGGCCGTGCCAAGGAGCTGCTGCTGCACAGTGGCATGTGTTGCAGTCAGATTGTGAGTCCCAAACAGCACCATAGTGCCTATACTTTTGACCAGAGCCCTATGGGCCGTGGTCTAAAGTAGTGCACTACTGTAAGTAGAGAATAGGGTGCCATTTGGGACGCAGCTAGAGCCATTCCACTGGAATCTTCCACCCCGCTCTGCTCCTCCTCCGGCCTCACTAGGACTCTCTCCGCCAACTAGCCCTCTATCTGGCAAAACACACAGACGTTTTTTTTTTTCACTTTCACACCGTGTCTTCCCTAATTGTCCGGCACCGCACTGAGTTTTGTGTATATCAATAAGTCAAAGACACGGTTGCTGTTGCTGTGCTCTTTCCACAGGAGGAAGAAATGTACCATAGCCACGCTGTGAGGTAATTTCATATTATGTAGATGACATGCTCATAAAGCCACTAAAACACAGAGGGAATACTTTAAACAGTCTGCAGCACATCCAGTTCTAACTAATTTAGCACTGCGACAGCAGGGACGTACAGTACCGTATATAGGCTACATACAGTATCCCGATATTGGGGGAAAATGGCTTACTGGATTGGCCAAACACGCGGACACACACTGTAAGGCTGACTGATGATAGCTAGGCTAGTGGAGGTATTTATTAGGCTATGTTGTATTTACTACTAGGGGGAAATGATCTCAGAGATTAGGATTGAGTAATACCATTCTGTTTAATACTAAGGGAAAGGAGTGTAAGGAACTGTAGAACTAACCATTCTACCGAAACAGCCAATTGCTATTTTCTGGAGTGGATATAGGTGGTGAAGTCGGCACAGTCTTTTTGGATCTTAAAAAGGCCTTTGATACTGTGAATCATGAGGTCCTCCTATCCAAACTATCCTCCCTTAATGTGTCCACTGAAGCCATTAGTTGGATGTATTCCTATCTGACAAACAGAAGTCAAAGGGGGGACACTCAGTTAGACTCTCTTTACTGTAACATTGGGGTCCCACAAGGGTCAATATTAGGCCCACTTCTGTTTACCATCTATATAAATGATCTCCCACTTGCTTGCCCACAAGTTAACATGCAGATGTATGCAGACGATACAGTCTTGTATATACACTCAAAAAACAGACAACAAGTTGTTAACAAGTTTAATGAAGCTATGGTACACGTTTCTAAAAGGATAACTATTTCTTGTTTGCATTTAAATATCGACAAGACTGTTTGTATGTACTTCTCTAAAAAATCCATTAATTCTTCCTAACGAGCTGTTCTTGTTAATGGGGAGAATCTGAAAGTTGTGTCTAACTTCAGGTATCTCTGCATCATTTTGGACTCCAACTTGAAATTTAAGAAACATGTGAAGAAGGTGGTAAACACGGTCAAGTTTGGATTATCCAACTTTAGGTTTATAAGACCTTACCTTCCTCTGGAGCCACCAAACTATATATGCTAGCATACTACGATCTTCTCACATCTGAGATATTGCCTCACATGCTGGTCACAAGCAGGACCTACTATTCTGAAACCAATTGAATCACTCTACAAACAAACACTTAAGAGAAACCAAACAGTTACCACCATTGTCACATCATTCACAAACATAATGTATTCAGTCTGGATAGCTTTAAGCAGTATGTAGATGCAAGCCTTGTCTTTAAGATCCTGCATTGTCTTGCCCCTCCACCCCTATGCCGGCATATCATGCTCAAGGAAAGCACCTGCAAGATAACAAGGGCAGTAACTAGAGGGGATTGCGTTGTCCCTTTTCGACCCAGCTGTGATGAGGTGATGTCCAAGGAGTCAGGCGCAGGGTAAATCACAGAATAACAGGCTTTATTCCGCAATTACAGAGTTATGCAGTAATGCGTCAAAACAGGCGCACTGGAAAATACAAGGCACACGGGGAAATATCCCGGCGATACAAAATACACAGAGCTCCACCGAGCTTCACTATCCTCCACAATAGACAATCACACACAAAGACAAGGGGGCAGAGGGAACACTTATACAGGTACTGATGAGGATATATGAACCAGGTGTGTGTAATAAACAAGACAAAACAAATGGAATGATGAGATGAGGAGCGGCGGTGGCTAGAAGGCCGGTGACGACGAATGCCGAAGCCTGCCCGAACAAGGAGAGGTGGCAGCTTCGGAGGGAGTCGTGAAAACAGCAAATTCGGTCAATTGGCCTTCTCTGTTAGAGCTACAATACACTGGAATGTAATGCCCATGGACTTGAAAAGCTGCACTGATTATTGTACTTTTAAATTTAAATTGAAAACATGGCTCAAATCTATCCAAACCTGTTATCTGTGGTTCCTCATATATAAGACAACAGTGTTTTTATTACGAATAAGTTGTTGTTGTTAGAATGATATATTATTGGATGTAATGTATTTGTATTTTGTATTGTTTTAGTGTGTATTTGTATTGTGGCTGTATAATTGCCTTTACCTGCCCTGGGACTACGGGTGCAAATGAGCTTTTGGCTAACCCCGGCACATTTACATGGATGTTGCATTATTGTAATACTGATGTTGATTAATGTGCATTGTCCCCTATAAATAAATAAATAAATGTACATAGGGTAAATATGCATGCACGCACCCCACACACACACGCTCGGGGCAAGGCTTTCAGGAGCTGAATATATCTGTGTTTACTTTTCTAAAGCCTTGTCAGGTTTTCCTCCACTTCCGACATCCGTTACATTAAGATGGAATGTCTCGAACATCAACAGCAATTAGAGGTTGTGCTCTGATCTGCTCTCTAGCCATAAGTGCAGTGTGTGTTTGACTGTCTCAGAGTGAATTATTAGTCTAGTTTCAATCTGGAACACTTCATGAAATGCCTTTCTTATTCCCAAGACTCCTGGTGGTATGGTGGTATAGTGGTATGTCATTCGGCTGGGGATGTTCGGGATTGTGTGAGCTTGAGTACCCATGTGTGGTGTACAGTGTTCCAATGGATACAATATGACTGTAAGTGAAGACAGGCGACCTGCAGTGTGGCAGTCCTACTGTACTTTCCATTGGCCTGTTCAATGGAATGTTGTGACCTATATGGCCTGTGGTGCATTGTCGGACTTACCTGGGCACACAGCCTGCAGGGTGACATGGCTGATCCTCAAGGTGCTGGTCAGGTGCCTCTGGTTGGTACCAGCAAACAGCAGGTAGAACTCCACATCCTCCTCATCCTCCCAATGATCTTCATCACCCAGCTGCACCGTCAGAAGACACTCACCCTGGAAACAGACAGACACATAGAAAAACAGTTATACTACACATTTTATCCACATAGTTTGATTTACATAGGTTTAACTTAGCTTACATTGTCAGAGCTTGCAGCAGAGTGGCAAAGAAAAAGACCTCCTCTCTAAACTAGGACTGGGAAATGCCAGGGACCTCAAGATACGATATTATCACGATACTTAGGTGCCGATACGATATGTATTGCGATTCGATATGTATTGTGATTCGATACTGCAATTTTATTGCGTTTTGATGTTCCAAACATATTGCTCTGTGTATGTCTGCAGCAGAGAGACAAGAGAGAACATGAGGAAATTCGTTTTTGGAGATAAAAGTGCTCAAAACATGTTGGCACACTCTTTAAAACATTTAAAAAGAAGATGGAGAATAATCGACTAGCGCTAGCTAACGTTAGCTACCTAACAAAAACAATTATTTGTATTTTTACAAATCGATACTTGGAGTCACAGTATCGATCTAAAATCGGCAAAGATTATATTGCGATACTCTACTGTATTGATTCCCCCCCATCCCTATTCTAAACCAGAGGAGAAACCAAAACAGAAATATAGGACAACAAAAACACCCACGGGCAGGTATAAACACCTGTCTATTACGGTAGGAAGAGGCTGTGTTTTATTATAGCACTATCAACCCATAATGTAGGGTGGAATACTCTCCTGAATACATAAAAACAAACCCTGCTAAAACAATAATTACCCCGCCTTATTTAATTACAGTGTATTGCAAGAGTGTGTGTGTGTGTGTGTGTGTGTGTGCATGCCTTCTTGCATCTGTGTGTGTTATAATGAATTATAATTTTAAAAGACCTCTTTATACTAAGAGCCCAGCCTGGAGTTACATTTTCTTTTCAAACCAAGGCTATGTGCAGTTCTCAGACAGGTCTGTTATATTTAGACCCAGTGTAAACGCAGGACTACCTGTCACTCCGCTTTACCCAGCGCATGGTCCAGTGTGACAGCCAGCCACACATAGCAAGAGCCTCAGCCTGAGAGGAAGGAGGTAAGATTGGAGGACGACTATGTTTCCTGTCATGACTGCCCTTATTTCTAGGTTAACCGTGGGCCGGTCCAAAGCACTGCTCTGTTGGAGCTGTCTGCCTGCCCTCTGTTGTTTTCCTCACAGCTCCACGTCATAGCCACCTTATCACAAGCAGCAGGAATAACAGCTAGGGGGACAGAAAGGTGCTGACTAGTCCAAATAACCCATCTCTCTCCTTCAGTGACAGGATCTCTTCATACAAAAATAAACA